AAGTGGTGAACCTTGCAATTTTAGCAAAAGTGGGCAAAGTCAGATGTTTCTGAAAAATTTTAGATGTAAGGGGGTTAAGGCCCTCCCAAAAAAATATTCGGTCTCTGGTCAGACCAAAGTTCCGGAATTGACGCGGCGACGCGGCTTTTTTTTTTTTTTTTTTTTTTTTTGCTTTTTTTTTGCTTTTTTGGTGTCCTCATGTACATTGGTGTCCTCCATAATTTGCCTTGGTGCTCTCGATCATTTGCCTTGGTGCAATTTCCCATTCCTAGGTGCTCTTTGGTTAAAAAAAACTGAGGAGGGGCGGCAATAGAGGGCGTTGTTGGAGCTACCGCCGAACATTTTGGAAAAAAAAAGATTGACGCGCATGATTAAAATCGACGCGCGCGCTGACCAGAGATCGACTTATTTTTTTTGGCCTAACCTTGCTTTTTTAGCAAAATTGGGAAAAATCATATTTGTAGGAAAATCAAAAATTGTAAGAGGTTAACCTTTGCCAAATTAGGTCACTAATAAAAAACAAGGTTAAGCCCCTTACATCTGAAATTTCAGATGTAAGGGGGTTAACCTTGCTTTTTTAGTAAAATTGGGCAAATTTTAATGTGCATGAAAATTTCCAAATTGTTAGGGGGTTAACCTTGCATTTTTTTTAGCAAACTACGGCAAAACCAGGTGTTCATGAAAAACTTCATATTGTAAAGGGTTCACCTTGCATTTGTATGAAAAATCAAAAAATTGTAAGGGGTTAACCTTTGCCAAATTAGGGCAAAATCAGATGTTTATGGAAAATTTCAAATTGTAAGGGGTTAACCTTGCATTTTCAGTGAAATTTGGCAAAATAAAATGTGTATGAAAAATTTCAAATTGTAAGGGGTTAACCTTGCTTGTTTAGTACAATTGGAAAAAATAAAATGTTTATGAAAAACTTCAAATTGTCAGAGGTTAACCTTGCATTTTTTTTAGCAAAATAGGGCAAAATCAGGTGTTTATGGAAAATTTAAGATTTTAAGGGGTTAACTTTGCATTTTTAGCAAAATTGGGCAAAGTCAGATTTGTATGAAAAATCAAAAATTGTAAGGAGTTAACCTTGCCAAACTAGGGCAAAATCAGATGTTTCTAGAAAATTGCAGATTGAAAGGGGTTAACTTTGCTTTTTTAGTGAAATTTGGCAAAGTTGGATGTTCATGAAAAATTTCAAATTGTAAGGGGTTAACTAAGCATTTTTAGCAAAACTGGGCAATATCAGGTTTTTATGAAAAATCTCGAATTGTAAGGGGTGAACCTTGCATTTTTAGCAAAATTGGCCAAAATGAGATGTTTCTGAAAAATTTCAAATTCTAAGAGTTTAACCTTGCTTTTCGAATTGTTAGGGGTTAACCTTGCATTTTTTAGCAAAATAGGGCAAAATCAGGTGTTTTTGAAAAAAATCAGATTGTAATGGGTTCACCTTGCATTTTTAGCAACATTGGGCTAAATCAAATTTGTATGAAAAATCAAAAATGGTAAGAGGTTAACCTTTGCCAAATTAAGGCAAAACCACTTACAATTTGAAATTTTTATTAAACATCTAATTTTTACCAAATTTCCTTAAAGAAAAAAGTAAGGTTAATTCCTTACATCGGAATTTTTTTCAGAAACATCTGTTTTTGCCCAATTTTGCTAATATATGGAAGGTTCACCCCTTACAATTTGAGATTTTTCATAAAAATCTCATTTTGCCCAATTGTGCTACAAATGCCAGGTTAACCCCTTTCAATCTGCAATTTTCCTGAAACATCTGATTTTGCCCTAATTGGGCAAAGGTTAACCTCTTACAATTTTTGATTTTTCATACAAATCTGATTTTTCCCAATTTTGCTAAAAATGCAAGGTGAAGCCCTTACAATCTGACATTTTTCATTCACATCTTATTTTGCCAGATATCACTAAAAAAGCAAGGTTAACCCCTTACAATCTAAAATTTTCAAGAAAGATTTGATTTTGCCCAATTTCGCTAAAAATACAAGGTTCACCACTTACAATTTGAGATTTTTCATTAATATTTAAATTTGCCCAATTTTACTAAAAAAGCAAGGTTAACCCTTACAATTTGTAATTTGTCATTCACATCTTATTTTGCCAAATATCACTAAAAAAATTAAGGTTAACCCCTTACAATCTGAAATTTTCCAGAAAGATCTGATTATGCCCAATTTCGCTAAAAATTCAAGGTTCACCCCTTACAATTTGAGAATTTTCATAAACATCTAACTTTGCCAAATTTCACTATGAAAGCAAGGATACTCCCTTACATCTGAAATTTTCCAGAAACATATGATTTTGCCCAATTTCGCTTAAAAAAGCAAGGTTAACCCCTTTCAATCTGCAATTTTCCAGAACCATCTGATTTTGCCCTAGTTAGGCAACGTTAACCCCTTACAATTTTTGATTTTTCCTACAAATCTGATTTTGCACAATTTTGCTAAAACTGCAAAGTTAACCCCTTACAATCTGAAATTTTCCATAAACACCTGATTTTGCCCTATTTTGCTAAAAAATGCAAGGTTAACCACTGACAATATGAAATTTTTCATGAACATCTTAATTTTCCCAATTTTACTAAAAAAGCAAGGTTAACACCTTACAATTTGAAATTTTTCATACACATCTTATTTTGCCAAATTTTACTACAAAAGCAAGGTTAACCCCTTACAATCTGAAATTTTCCAAAAAGATCTGATTTTGCCGAATTTCGCTAAAAAATGCAAGGTTCACCCCTTACAATTTGAAATGTTTCATGAACATCTAAATTTTCCTAAATATGCAGCTGCAATTTTCCAGAAACATCTGATTTTTCCCAATTTTGCTAAAATGTAAGGTTAACCCCTTGCAAACTGTTAAATCAATACATGAAGTGTCCCATTTGACTCTTTTAAAACAAATTATTTTTCCAGTTTTTAGGGTAAAGGGATTTTCTCTTTTTCCTTTCTCTTTTGTTGTTGCTATATTTTGCGAATTAACTCATTCGTATGGAATGCTCATAGTCAATCAAAGAACATTTCACACATAGGGGCCTAAATTATATTTTTTAAAATTTAACAGAGACGCATTGATCGTGCTATCATATACCATTCTATTACTATTGCAAATTACTGTATTGTTTGGAATGCTCACAATTAAAGATACATTATTCGAAAGATGTATAAATAATATTTATATATACAATGTACATCTTTATTCTTTCCCGGCATAACTTATGGCGTTTCTTACGTCAATTGGCAATCGCGTCATTATATAATGATAGTCAAATTGATCAAACGAAACTCCGTTTTGGTTATAGTCAATTATGAAATATTCATTGATTTATGACATACACCTTTGATTCAATTTTGATACTACCCGTAGACATGCCGAGCAGCTGTAGATATCAAACTAAACCAAAGTATAAAAGATAGAGGGTAAAAAAAATCAAAAAGTTATGTGCTAGTCAAGCTTTCAGGGATCGGTCTGAGCCATAACAATGCCCCAGCCGATCCCTTAGTTCTCTTCCGGGGTCTCGGCGTCCCCGACCAATACACACTTCCTTCCCTATCCATCCATATAACCCCGGAGGGCCAGGCACCATGTAAAAGCAAAGAGCTAAGGGAGGAACAGGGCGGCCCCTAAGCCCTGATCCTCCGAGTGGACCACATGCCCTGAACCTGTACGAAGGCGCCAACCTGGAACTCGCGGACAGTACCAGCAGCAGTGCTTACCGATTAAGCTAAGGTACTGTTGGTACTTTATGACGGGAAATTAAATCTCTTATAGTGAATAATTGAACTCATACGTTAAAAACCAAAAAGACACCAACGGGATTCGAACCCGGGACCCCGCTAACCGTGGGCGACGAATCGTAACCACTCGGCCATTTCGTTACCTTAGAATGTTCCTTAAACTGAGAAAAGTTGTCTTTATAGGTGAGCAAACGCGCCAGGAAGATTACTGGGTCCATTTGCTTTACCTTAATGGGTAAAAACAAGTCGAAATAATGAGCCCAGTGTGTTTGGTTTGTTAGGAAGCTGCATAACACAGCCTAATGTCCAAAACAGTCGTGTGCTAGACGGATCATTACGCAACAATGAACACCGCAATTGTGTATTTTCAAAAGGCAGACGCGTAGATTTCTACTCTTTGTATCTGGGCACATATAGATTCTCACCTCCCTCTTCAGCTATTTCGACTTTCTTAAAAAGAAAAATAGAGACTGTCAGCGAATCTCCTGGAGTTGAAACAAGGATCGTCCCCTCGATAGACCTCAGACTCAGTAAAGTTCAACATTGGGTTCTTTTTCAACAGCTGTTTTTGCGGAAACTTTACATCATGGATTTTTTAGAAGCATCTGATTTTGCCCAATTTTAGTAAAATATGCTCCAAAATTTGCTAAAAAGCAAGGTTAACCCCTTACCTATTTTTGGACCCCCAAAAAAGTGGGTCCAAAAATTACGGCGTGGGGTTCGGGGCCCGCTTAAGGGCCCCGAAATTTTTTTGGATTCTAAATGCTCTGTGGTGCGATCTGAGGCAATTTCTGACCACTTTAACCAATGTTTTTTTTGAGGAAAAGATGGTGGTGTACTCATTGCCTGCCTTTATTGCGATGTCACATTAAAAAAAAAAAAAAAAAGGTCTCGTTTTTTTTGGGGGGGGGGGGCATGGCCCCTTTTGGCCCCCCCCCCCCTGGATCCGCCCTTGCCTCCCCCCCCCCCCCCCCCCCCCCCGAAAAATTCCTGGCTATGCCACTGTCCCCAAGTGTATGTGAAAAGCAAGTAGAAATCAAAGTTGAAACGAAGCTTAATTATCAGAGTCTGGGGGAAAAACACTACGCTAACTATGGTTTCTTTACGACTGTTAACTGTAAACAGCGCCTCGCTTTTCTTCTGCTCGGAGGATCCAATGTGCGTGCGTGGGGTGAAATTTGAGCTCAGAAGGAATCCACGAGGCTGAGCGCGATTGACCACCTGTTGCTTGGTTCGTGGATGGGATCTCAAGTCTCCAGAAAAATTCCGCAGCTGCAGTGCACGAATGAAACTGCTGGTGACTAGCTTGAGTTTGCAAATACTTCGGTCTTTTAGTCTTGGTTTCTGCCGCCAATGCATCTTTTCTCAGAAGCACAGGCCGGTCTACGTCGCTGTCTTTGAGAGGAAACCTTGAAGAAAATGCTTCGTATTTACTGGGCTTTGCTCGTTGGGATACTCACGTTAGCTGTTTCGGGACATAACCAGAGAGGTAACCATTTTTTTTTTAATTTGAGACCGTAGTTCTCGTTGGCAAGGCATGCCCCAACGACATCAAGTTGTTAAATGTGTTAGTGTTACTGTACTGGAACTTTGGTGTTGCTTTGATCCTCCCTGTTTCAATACAATTATTACAACTAAATTATATATTTTTTTGTGTAAGCTGGTAAAATACCAACATAGTTGACCGAGTAATTGTTTCTAGCTGAAAAAAACCTTACATTTATGTCATCAGGATCACTTATATAATCATATTATTATTATATTAAGTGTGTAATAAAACGAAAGTGGTGAACATGTAAATATATGTCATATTTCAAGCTTGCAAATAATAATATTCCTTATCTTGTTTGAAATTGGATTTAATTTCAAGTGCTGGGAAAATTGCCACTCTATTCTGCTATTATACTTTTCACATATTCACTCACATGGTCAGGTGATGGTGGTGTACAGCATGTCCAGTTGTTACAATACTTGAAGATTTCAATTTCAGAATACTTGCAACTTTTAAAACTTATTTCATAAAGCAAAAAAACAGCAGTTCACGTCTTGTGATTCATTTTATTACTTGGTAAAATGTTCAGACTGTTGGTATAAATTGGACCAATTGATAAACACAGATTTGTAAATGAAGTGATCAAGTCAAATTTGTTTGCATACTTTGATTTTGTTAAGTCCCAAATATTGCCCAAAGTTTTGAGGTAGAATATTTAAACATGCCACAGTGACCTGTAGAATTGGTCTATGATGTAACAATTCAATAAATGGCAAACTAAAGGGAATAATTCCATCCATGGACAACATCCGCGGCCAGGGGGGGGGGGGGGGGGGGGGGGGGGGGGGCAAAGGGGGCCATGGCCCCCCCCCCCAAAAACGAAACCAATTATTTTTTTTTTAATGTTACATCGCAATAAAGGCAGGCAATGAGTACACCACCATCTTTTCCTCAAAATTAATTGGTTAAAGTGGTCAGAAATTGCCTCATATCGCACCACAGAGCATCTAGAATCCTAAAAATTTTCGGGGCGGGCCCCGAACCCCACGCCATAATTTTTAGACCCACTTTTTTGGGGGACGAAATTTTTTTTGGCCCCCCCAAAAAATTGTGTTCTGGAGCCGCCCTTGTCCATGGACATCATCGTTTTTCCCTGTAGTGACCTATATTAATTATCAGCCATCAGAAAGCAATAACAAGTACTAAAAAGTCAAAAATTTGAAGCATTTACTATTACTGAAAAAACACTTGGAATTTCTCAGACCAGTTTCATTGGGTTTGTGCACAGGATAGCCAGTGATGTCCAGGTATAAAACTCTTTCCAACTAAAGATATAGAAACTTGAATAAGCTCTTAAATATTAATAGGGACAACCACTTGATCAAATGCATATTATCACAGTCACATAACTGTTAACCTAACTAGGCATCATTGACTTATTGCCATGTACAACTCCAACAGTACAACTATAGAGCAAGGAAATGGAAGGAAGTAACATAAGTAGCACTGGTCAGAACTCTGGAGTCTGGACCAGGCATGGGCGTCGCCAGGATGTTTTCTAGAGGGGGGCAAAAAAAAATTTTGCCAAAAAATGCTTGTATTTCTCAACACATTCTCGATTTATCAGTTTTAGAGGGGGGCAGGGACATTTTGCCCCCCCCCAACTCATTAAATTTACACCACTTTGTCTTCGCGTCTCTTTTTTTTTTCTTTTCTTTTCTTTTTTTCCTTCCTTTTTTTTTTTTTTTTTTTTTTTGCTTTTCCAGGGGGGGGCAAGTGCCCCCCCCCTTGCCCCCCCCTCGCGACGCCCATGGGACCAGGTTGTCTTGAGGGGAATGACCCCACTGACCCTTTCATTCAGCTCTGCATTTTCCTTCACTGGTCTCCTTGACTGTTTAATTCTACTTCATGGTTCTTCAGAAGGTCAGATTTTTATTGTTTCACAACCCCAAGTCTCCAGAGACAGTGATCACATTTCATTTACAAGCCATGGGGTACTTAGCTAAAAAAAAAATGAGTCCATGTCACACAAATCACTCTGCACTAGACAAGCAATGTGGGTAGTTTAAAGGGAATGTACATCATTGGCTTTTGCTGTAATTTTCAGAAATGAACTATTTGAGGGGTTAGTATAACAGATCAAACATTGTTACACAGACAAGTTTGAAGTTTTGTGTTCGAAAATGCTGGAAAAACCAAGAAAAACAAAAGTTTTCAAGTAGTCTGGTTCCTTGACTCCACTAAAGATAAAATGGATCAATTTGTAGATGCTGGAAAATTGTAAGGTAAGGGAACCAGTCTAGCTGGCCTGCACCCATTCACGAACATGTAACCAATAGCAAACAAAACTTGGATTGAAAAATGTGTTAAGTTGGAGCAGTAGTTGAAAAATAGTTAGGTTTTTCCAACGGTGGTCGGCCGACCACCGTTGGAAATGTATTCAAAAATACCATTGTCTTGAAAATGACTTCAAACCAGGTGCCATGATTTTACAGGATGCTTTAGACTGTCATTTACCAACATCCTTGTAAGGTATTTCGAAAAAACTTGGTAGTTTTATTTTTCGATGTTTGCAAATGTTGTATATTCCCTTTAACTTTGCTACTTGCTGAGAAAAAAAGGCAGATTTTATTTTACTTTATTCACTGTAGCTCTGTGGAGTTGGACTCTGGTTGTATGGTGAGACATTTTCCCCCACAAAACATAACCGATTATAGTCGCCAACTTCTTTTTAATATCAAAAATCTTATGCAATCAAATTCCAGATTGTTTTATGAAAAACAAATTTCACTTCATTTATACAAAGTATAACTGTTTGTCTGAACATTTCATACCATTCAGTGATTTCAAAATAATATTTTTTGCAGCATCAACATTTTGGAAAATCCATTTTGGAAAATGTTTATTTATGTTCACTTGATGGTAACATATAGCTGTGGTAATAAGGTAACCTTTTCTTGGGGGGGGGGGGCATATTGCAAATTATATAAATTCAGAGCCACAGGTCAAGCAGTAGAAATGGCCTTGAAGGCCTATACATAACCTGAAGCCTCTAAGCTCTTGGAGATATGCCACGTACTGGTATGAATAACTTTAACTATTTTTTCAAGGTTAAAATAACTGCAAATTTTGTTTATTTTAAGCCCATTTCATTGACAACGTTTTGTTCCAGAATAGTTTTCAGACCAACCAGAAACAAACAAACTTTTCTTTTAAAATGGAGATCATCCATGGTCTTGGATGTGACTCTCTGAAACCCATTTTTAAAATAGAATTGTTTATTTTTTAGCACATATTGGATACATTATAAACAGTCTTATTAAACATATAAGCAAAGATTGGCACACTTCTAGGAATTCGGAACAACTTAAGTTTAAAAAGAATAGGTAGGTTTAAAAACAATAAGAAAATTCCTGAAAGTTTGTTTGGGGTGACCTTATGGAATCAGATTGTGTCTGAAAAACCCAATATTCACAGTGAAAAGAATGGGAGACGAACTCACGTATAGAGTTAGAAGCAGTTGCACTGCCCAACATGTTTTAAAAACTCTCCACATTCACAAAATGGAGTAAAAACATTGGCATGAATCTGTGTCACAGATTTTGTTTCTGCATTCAATAGGGAACGTTGAACAATGGAGGACAGTAGGGTTCCCATTTCCCAATCCCCGAAGGTCCCCAATTTACGATTGTGCACAAAACATATGGGAGGTCTTTCTAAGTACAAACATAAGAGGGACAATAGGGGGTCCCTGATTGCAGGCAAATACACACTTGTGTGAGTGGGAGGGAAGGGGGTGACCAAATTCAGCCATTTAAATAAAAAAGTTGGGGGGGTGGGGCTTTATCATGTCTTTTCTTTAATATTTCTGTACACGGACTAGATATTGGCATTTTGGAATTTCTTATTTGCAAGCTTAGTTACACAATACACATTTTCACCTTACATAAAAACAGCGCATTCAAAGATTAACAAAAATAGTTTCTCTGTTTTCCAGCTATTGAATACATTTTTGTTTTTGGGAAGTTTAGAAATACCTCATAATCCTAACCTTTTTTGGTTTCTCATTCCCAAAAAGTGGGGGAATGATCCAATAGCCCATCCCCCTGGTCAAAAAGTGGGGAGATATATACCCCCCCTCTCCCGGGAGATTTACACCCCCCCCCCCCCCCCCCCCCAGTACAAATCAAAGATAGCGAACTTGCATGCATTGCCAGATTCTCTTCGCACCCCACACGTTCATCCATTTAACCCAGTGTAAATAAGCTGTAGGCTTATGTCACAGGGTGTAAAAGCCTAATGTGCCAGGCACCTGAACATGACATTTAGCCCCAGGCAGGCTAAAGTATTTAAACATCTGTATGATGGATTTTACTGTAATAACCCCTGTCCTGAACTGTGCTATTATGTGTATAGGCCTGCCAAGGGCGGAACCAGAGAGTTTGCTGGGGGCAGCAAGGGGGTTCTCTCAAGTAAAAAAATGGCCTTATTTGAGAAAATAAAATGCTATATTTCAACTTGGGAGCCTATTTACAGTAACCTACAGAACCCATAAAAACCTTCTTTTTTAAAATTCTGCCATACATTTCAACAATCTTTGTAAGAAATTCCATACTCGGTTTGATCCACAGTTTAGTTTATTATTAAAAATAACCACATTGTCAATTTAGACCTACCTCTCTAAAAAATGTTGTTTACAAGTGTTTCAGAATTGGGCACTTTACATGAAGTGGGTAACTTTATCTGTTGTGGAGAACTTTAGGTTTACAAGCAATTCACTATATTTTTCTGCTACCTCATGCAAACAAAAAAAAACCACAGTTTTGCATCCTAAAAATCTATAAATGCCCATTTTTGTCTCTTGGAAACCTTTAAAAACCTAAATTTTGATTTCCAAACCTATTAAAAAAAATCTATATCGATGAAGAGGGGCACTGGGAGGCAATAGTAAGAACACATGTTGAATGAATAACCACTTCATGTACAAACACTCTAGTTTACCACGAAATGGCCCATTTGTGCTTAAAAAGTTTTCCATCTGCACGTGTTAAAGGACCCCATCCAATTACTTTTTTTAATGGAATCCTCAAAGTGCACATTTATGCCTTTTTTAACTTCATTTTCAATCTACACTTTACCATTTATTGTGGTATTTCATGTCTTGTTTACAGCAAATGAAACTCCCCAAACAATAGTGATATTTGTATGTTTTAATTTAAAGCACTTTTATCTACAAGGTTTTTGTTTATTTTAGCTTTTAATAGCTGTGGTTAAGTTTCTGTCTTTTTATTGTCTATTTGTTGATTTAGTAATTAACATCCCTTATATGGGAAAATATGTCTGAGTTACATGTTGTTGAGTTATTCATCAGCATTAGGTTTTGAGTGTTGATATTATATGATTTTTAAAAACAATTAATTCTATTGATCCTAAGGACTTTAAAATCAATTATACCTTTACATATATTGAAATATTTGGTCTTGTGAAATGTCTGTTTTTGATATATTTATGTTATTATGAATGCCTTTTTAACCAGTTTGCGCTGGGATTATTTTTACATTGACCCAACCCAGGCGTGGGATTGTTTTCACAAACCACAATGCCAGACGAGTTCAGGCTGTCATCTGCGGGTAGCACACCCTAACATTTCCGGCCTCGCTCATTACGAGCGGGTTGCAGACAGATATTTCCGGCCTCGCTTGTTGCTTGTTTATACGTCATCCGTTAGGAATACCTCAAAACCTTTGCGTGTATACACGTCATCCAACATGCACTGGTAAATGCCAAATGCGCAACTTTTTTTGCTCAAAATCAAAATCATCAAACTAAAATGAATAGTAATTTTTGGATCATATTAATTTTAACCTGGCTGTATTTCAAGCTGGAGAATGAAGCAATCACCTGCTGCAGTGACAGATTTATTTGTGGGAACTATGAGTCTGTTTCCATGGAAGCACTTTCATTTTCTCCATGCAGAAACCACATCCTGGTACCAGATGGCACACTGGATTGTTCGTAGAAAAGGGGTGTGATTTTCTGTACAGTACCACAATGCCTGGATCACATTATGCGCATGCTGGAAATAGGTCAAACACTTGGCCAGTGGACACCCCTCTGGTTAATATGAAATGGTATTTTCCAGTTTTCATCAAATTTACTTATGCTATGAAGCTTCTTTTTTTCTTAACTGTATACAACTTGCACAATTCAGTGCCTTTGAAATGGTTGTATTTGTACACTGCAAGTTCCCTTTTGAGGCTTTTTGATTTTTCCTATTTGACCACATTGCATTGCTTCATTTTAAGCCAAATCATTACCTAGTGTCAGTGTTGTAGTTGAGTACATTTCCATGAGTATGATGACAAGCTAACTACCGGGCGAGCACATTTTAATTGGTAAACTTAATTTACCTTTAAAAAAATGAAATACCAACAGGAAAATGTTTTCATGAGTACGAGTACTCTGCCATGAGTATGAGGATGTGTACAGGTAAAGTATTTTTTATTGCGAGTACAACTATGAGTACATTCTCAGGGTACGAGTATGAAAAATGTACTCGAGTATTATAGATTCTGTAGATTCTGTAAATTTTTGAGAAAGAAATACATACGTGTACTGTTAACCTTGGCACAAGTGCACGTGCCTTCTCCTTGGATTTAGACAGAGTATGATAAACATGCAATCAGAATTCTTGGCTTGTAGTTGTATTCCCCTGGGACCATGCCAGCCTCTTGCCTTAATGTTAAACCATGTCCATGGCTGTTGTTTCGCCACTGGGGGTAGGGACTGATACCTGCTTAGGTACCACAAGTTAGATCAAGGGAAACTCTCTATTAACTGACCTATAGACTGCTATATACCAGATCACCTGGTTTATCAATTACTGTACTTGGCAGCACCAGGACAAGAATCGATTCTTGTAATACAGTGATTTATAACCCCAGAAATATTCACGGAAATGTCAAAGCCATAATAGCATTGGAGTTTTTAGTTTTGAAAAAGTTTATCGAAACAAAAATTTGGATTAACGACTTTGGATATTTGTATTGGACATACACAGCATCATGTGAAGTAATTAAGCTAGTAATATACCAAATAGTGAAAGTTCTTCGTGTAACCTTTTAAATACAGGCAAATTGATTTATGGTGAAATGGTCCTTTTTTGCTTCGGCAGCTATATGCCAGTTATAGTGTCGGAGATCCAATTTGTCTTACTCAGCATAGCTTAGCAAACACCTTTATTTGGGGGGGGGGGGGGATGGGAAACAGATTTTTTTTTGGGGGGGGGGGTTTGGGATGGGGGGTTGAGAGCTGAGTGCATATGGTGGTCTGTGTGCCTCCTCCATTCGTTAAAAAAAAGGGACGTGCAAAATAGTAATAAAAGAAGTATCCATTTACGCTTTCTGGTTTCTACAGGACGTGCATGTGACAATCTGTATAGGCAGTGACGTCCTTTGAGAGATATCTACATGTATATACCAATGAAGGCTAAAAAGGCGTACTCGTGCTTATCCCTGTGGAACAAAAGCAAACACATCAAAGGTCAAGTTCGGGAAAGGACCATTAGTCAACTAATGGTTGATTTGTGACGTACCTTACGCCTGTGCTCTGATAGCAACGTGCGAACGTCTCTAGTCAAACGCTGGTCAAAATGTCATCGCAAAACTTCTGGATCCTGGCTCTCTGCTAGCGTTATGAATGCGCGCGGCTCATTGGTTACCAGCGAAGCAACCAACCCCAGTGGGCTGGTTCCAAATAGTCGACTAGCGTAGTCAACCACCGTTGCTCAGACAGAGTTCGGGCAAACGTTAGTTAACCATTGGTCAACTATAGTCCTTGCGCGAACTTGGCCAAAGATAGCTGCACTGCGAAAGATCTATAATTAATTATGCCAATCTGGAGAAAGTCAACATTTTTCACACTAGAGCCTGGGCGAACCCAGCACAGCCCCGGGTGGAGTTTTTTTTTAAATGCGTTCAATCCTGTATCGCTACAAACTTGTTTCGTGCAAACCAAGCTCATTTCGCTCGGTTACTGTTTTGAGCCCTGGTGAGAGTTTCAACCCTGGTTGAAAATCTCAACCCTGGCCTGAAGCAGGGTGGAGTTCAACCGGGTGTGAAATCAATCTCGGGGTTGATACAGGGTTGGCGCAGTGTTGAAATGTTCAAGTGTAAAACGGCGTATATTTTTAACTCTGTGTCAACTCTTCATCAACCCCGAGATTTGTCTGGTGTGAAAAGGCCTTTAAAAGGGGTATTGTTTTTGCTCTTTTTTTATTTTTCACCACCCTCTACTTTTCTTTCCAACAGAATGTCCGGCAGGCCACTTTCAGTGTGATTCAGGCCAGTGCATCTCTCGGGCATGGAAGTGTGACGGTTACATTAACTGTGATGATGGGACAGATGAACAGGGATGTGGTAAGTGACTCTCTTTTTTTCTTTCGATTCTTGTTTGTTTGCATCAATAGTCCTCACAGCTGTAGCCTTCATAGTAAAGCTGGGTTTTCTTGAATTCATCTGGTTGTCAAAATCTAAACATCAATTTGCAAAAAAAAAAATGTGTCATGAAATTACACTGGGACGGAGTTGGTTTTAGAGATTTGTGACCGGCTCCACAAAAAAGGGTATTATGTCGCAAAAAAGTGAAATTGAGTTATATACATGGTTGGAAAGCCCACAGTGTAAGCTTTCAGTTGGTATATGTAGAGCTCCATAGCCCCTCACGGGGGTAATTACTTCCTTGGAGTTCAAATTACACAACTGATAAAACAGGCTTTGAAATAGCTGGCTTTGTTGTAGAACAACAGAACGATGCACACAAAATGGTTGTTTTTTCCTCTTTGTTCATTTCTGTGAATGAAACCTGAAACTGTAGGTATTAAAGATGACATTCATGACAAAAAATGAAGATCACATTTTGACGAAATTTTCACCCTGTCAATGTTGAGCGGGCCATTACACAATAATGCTCAGCGTGACTTAATGCCCTTTTTGTGGAGCCTGTCACATTTGTAAGTTCTCATCAAGTTAACTGTACAAACAAAAACCTGAGGTGATTCATTTTCAGTCCATACTATGGGTCAAGAAAGAAATAGCCTGGAGTGGGATTTGAACCTGCAACCTCTGCTATACTGTCTTGTGCTGCGTTTGTTCATGGGGCGCACATCAGAGGTCACCCTGAAACTCAATCCCACCAATATTAGCAATGAATTAATATCTTCTTTGACGCCCTCCCTTTTGATCTCTACCCACTGTTTTACCCATTTGTTCCTTTCCTCTGCCTTATCACTTCCTGTCAAACCCCGTTTTAAAAAGCCTTTCTTCAGCCACTGCCACACCCCTTTCATTTATTCCTTCCCCTGTGTCATCCCTCTCTTCATCCCCCTTTTGTCTTTACCCACCACCTCGCTCCTTTGTTTCCCACCTACCTCATCCTCTCTGTCACAGCTCCCTCCCCTTTTACCCACTGCCGTGCTCCTTTTCCCCCTGCTTTGTGTTTCACCTTGCGACCATGCATGCTTGTGTGTCCCCTACTTGTTTGTTTTTGTACCCCTGTTGTTTTGCCTTTGACAAAGGTCCTGCCGCTGGATCGAAATATTTGGCCCTCTATTAACCTTGTTGATTAGCATAAATGTCACTTAGTTTGTTTTGAAGTAATCAATTATTTGGATATATACATAGCATTATGATACTTATCTTCTTCCTTCCCATAGACTATGGTACCTGTCCCCCTCACCAATACCAATGTCCGTCCTCCAATAGATGTATACCCCTCACATGGCTATGTGATGGCGTGTTTGATTGTCCAAATCAAGAGGACGAGTCACGGAACTGCCGTAAGTGTTATCAAGTCTCTGTTATTAAGGGAATAAATGTTTGCTTGGGAGGTGTTAAAGTTTAAGACAGGTTGGAGTCAGGTAATTATCAGCATGCCAGACTCCAACCAGTCTTAAACATAGTGTTTAATACCGACCATGCACATATTTATTCCAATTCATAAAATACCTTTTCGGTCAAAAAATCAGAACCTTTTGGTCCAAAAGTCAAAACAAGTCAAAAATTATATATTTCCAACGATTTTGTTGAACAATTTTACTTCCTGTTTTTCGAAACTTCCCTCTAGCTATATAATGGAGTGTCCAGCTCGCGAGTAATACGTAAACAACTCCTTTTATGGAGTTTGGCGTGCATGTCATGGGTACTGTGCGATGGCGCGCAGATGCAGCCGTGGTGAGTGCGTTGTGGATTTATAGGACTATGAAATACTGACTCACTGGTAGTATTGCGCATGCCTATGTGAGGACAGTGAATGTTCAACCAATAACACTGTAAAAGGCACTGGGTTTCATAGGAGTCCAAATTTCATGTGACACTAGAAAAGTGTTTCAGACCAGCCAGCCATGTCTTTATCATCCTTTTAAAGACTGGCCACGTGACGGGCTCTCGACCAATAGGAATGGGTGAACTGTCTTAGGTATTTACGATTTTTTTAAAACCACCATCACCATGTCAGACCAGACCAAAGTAGCCATAAGCACATGTACTACTTTGAAGTACAGTAAACTCCGGCTAAACTGACATCGTACAACTTGCCAAATCCCTCAAGTCGGCCGTCTGACTAAAGTCCCGATTGTCCGTAGTGCATTTCCATTGAATTTTTTATTTCTAAGTCGGCTTTTATAAGTCGCAATTTCACTCAAGCCGTCATGTTACTCTCGGTCCCCTTTCCATTAAAAGCATTACAAAATCCTTTGTGTAAGTCGGCATTCAACAAATCACGCATTGGCATCGACTGTACTGCGGTTCAGTCTTTCAATAACTATTTTCACCATTGCACTCACAAACATTCATTATTTGTATAATACGTGTAAATGTACCAATAAGGAGACACGGTATCGTAATTTCTTCGAACGGTGGGAGACACCGGTCATTAGGGAGACATTTTCATGTCTCCCTAATGTCACAGCCCCCTATAGAGGCCAAATTTTAATGTCGCAACTATTTTTGTTGCTCGTGGTCTAATTAGTAAACATACCGAAATTCGTCGCAAAAGGACAAGGGAATATTGGGTTAGGGCACATTTAAGTTTGAAAAATGTTGTGCACAAGTCTATGGGGATGTCTCCCAAATGTCCAATCCAGGGTAATATTTATAACTACTACTATTATCTGAGGCTTGATGTCCTGTGAAAATTAAAGTACCAAGATTAATATTACTCAGAGAACTCCAAAACCATATTTTAAAAGTGTACTTTTCTCCAGTTTATAATTATACGTTGTTTTTAATGGAGCACATTGTATCTAATGGAGCACATTGAAGCCTTGAACAATGTGCTTGAATTATTTCCATGATGTGGCGGACACACATGCGTTTTCCTGTCGATTTAAATACAAAAGTTGACCAGCTTAGCTGAAATTCTTTCAACCAACCCCAAGGCAAAGGCTTTAGGTTTGTGTTTTTCCAGAGTCAGGCATGCAAACAGTAATCAGATGGAAGAGCTCAAATAAGCCTGAAAGCATTGGAAAGAAAGCATCACCACCCTGGTTTAACCTTTGACATGTGGCTGTTAGTGGAAGGTCATTGACCTCTGAAACAAGAACAACAGTGAGGCATACCAGATGTCATGTAAACTGAGCACCTTGAGCAACATTTTCTTGGATCAGATAATTTTACTCAAACTTCCAAGTCTTTGTTGCTTGCACAGTATTTTTTGTTATTAAACATGGATTTCCTCAAAATCAAACAATTGCATGGCAGCCTGAATGAATCCACCTCTGAAGAGGAGGCATTGACAACTTAATAAGATTTAGAGGGTTTGCATTAATGTTGTGCAAACCTGAACCCAAGTTGAAACCAGGTCGGGTCGGTTCGATTTGTCCATCATTTCAGTCGAGTCGGGTCAGATTTAGTTTTGCGTTTGCATTTTTTTAGTCGGATCGGGTTGCAAGCCAGCTTGGAAAACCCAAATAAACCCCCAAAAAAGGGAAAAGTCGTTGAAACAATTCGTAAATTCACACGGTGCTGTATTTATTGCAGAGTCACTGTGCCTAGTACGACTAACTGTGATTTGCGGTGTCACGCACAGTCTATAACATATAGTTCCATGAAATTATAGGTCACTTTGAGTCTTCACCGTAAGTAACGTACTTAATGATTCAGATACTGAGAAACGACGATTTTCACGTGACGCAGGTAAGTTCAGGCACAAAAAGCGGATGCAGTTGCCCAAGCCTGGGATAGATTTTGGGTTTTTTTTTTTTTTAGTGGGTTCAGGTTCAGATCAGTTCGGGTCTTTTTTTTTTGAGAATTTTTGTTGGGTCGGGTCGGGTCGGTTTGGGTTTCGGTTCGGATCTGGTTTATGTGTGTAATGTTTCGGGTCGGTTTGGCCTGGTAAACCCGACCCAATGCACAACATTAGTTTACATGGTGAAGTAAGCAATAAGAGTGTGTTTGTGGTTTCACCATGTTACACATCGTGGCAAATTGCTTAATTTTGCAGATGGTAGGAAAACCCTGTTCAAAGGTATGGGGATCATCCACAAGGAATGCAGAGCTTGAAAACAGACCCAGGCAGGATTTAAGTTGGGAGGGGGGGGGGGTCACAGATAAGGGTGGTGGTCTTGAGGAATGGCTCTACCAAGTGTAACTTATATCTAGATCCACCCTCAGTGAAGTGGCTTTTTTAGGGCAGACAAACTTTAATTGCTGTGAAACAAATACAAAACATGCACCAGTCTTTCTGTGAAAATGTGAATGTGTATTCATGTGTACCTGGGCTTCTCTGGGCATCATGCCAAATAAAGCAGAGAACATAGTCTATAGCCTCCCTTAATGCAGGCTCATGCTCATACCCCCCCCCCCCCCCACTAGCAACAGGTGGAAAAGTGACAAGCTCCAAAGAGCTCATCCAAACCCAGGAGGAGTTGGCATTGGCAAGGTGATATGGCATGGTGTATTGACCCAAGATTAATTGCTGGAAGAGGTTACTGGCGGCTGACCTGTAATCAGAAGTTAACTGATGGAGCAGATTAAATGTACTGGGGACACGGTTCTTGATATGAATTTTCGGTACATACTTCACAGTATCATATTCACTAGTTATCGTGTTTTGAGAATGTTCTGTTTGATTACTTTTAGAATCATAGAATGTGGAATGACCTCCCATCAATGGATTAATTAGCTCCTAACTCACAAACTTTCAAACACAACCTGAAAACTGATCAGTTTGGTTTGATTGATCATATTATTAATTTTCTTGGTTCCATTTATCTCATATGTCATTAAGACATGTGATTGCTTTGTTTTATGCTCCAATTGAAAGCGCAATGATCTTAGGTTTGTAGTTACGAGTGCTATATAGGTACTGGTATTGTCATTGTTAAGGTGAAGGACTTTGCATGGGTAGTTCTGCATGGTCAGGTCAAAGTCATAATCCAGACACTTGGGGGCGAAATTGCTCCATTTGAAGTAGGGTCAGCCACATCATGCACCTTCTGTTCAAACAAATTTGTGAGATGGATATGGGTGAATCAGCGCAGTCCATGGTGGTCGCATCAACCGATTGACTTACACACTCAGTTCATGAACTCAGTTCCTGCAGGTCACTTTCATCAATCAAGTACTTTTGAACAACCTGCATGTACATGTATACCATTACCACCGGTAAATGCATCAGGCAGTAAAAAGTTGGTAGTTTATTTCTGTAATTTGCAAGAAAAAAAAAACCTGGTTAAAAAATTAGTAATGGGATATCACCTGATGTGGGCCATAATAATGTTAATTTTGGAATCTGTGTACTCAGAAATACTAGTGATTGCCCCAAGTTACTCCAAAGTTATCAATCTGCTATATATGATATTTTTATGCTTGAATTTTCGTAGTGGTTGCGGAAAATGTGTGATTCCATTATGAATGTGAGCAAAATGGCCAACTGTATTTTTTTTTTGGTTGGGGTGATTTTTGGTGGGGGATTTTGCTTGTCCAGCATCACTTTTTTTGTGACTTTTAATTTGGAGATATTACACATGTAGACCTGCTATAGAAAAATTTACATATTAAACTAGTATTATACAATAAGATATGATTTCTGTACACTTCTCAACCAAAAGACTCCCCCTCTTTTTCTTCATCTTTATATCATAGCTGCTGTCACCTGTGCGAGTGATGAATTTCGGTGTGACACAGGTTTTTGCATATGGTCTTTATGGCAGTGTGACTACTTCGCTGACTGTGCCGATAGGAGTGATGAGCAAGGCTGCAGTAAGTGCATACATTACTATATTTGGCAGATGAAGACTTTGTTTCCAAAAGGTGATATATGTCATTTTGGAATCCCGCCCTCAAGCTTGTTGCCAAAAATAAGTTTTGATGGATGTTAATGACAGTTTAAGGATACAAAATTTCGCAAAATGTAGTTTGGAAACAGCTGTTCATTCGTCACCGTTTTCACGAAGGGACGGGCATGTCAAAATTGACCATTTTTTTTATTAAAGTTATTTTTCACTACTTTGCTTTAAAACATGGTACTTAAGCATTCTTACATGTTTCCGTAAGCAAAACATAATTTTTTTTTTTTTACTTAAAAAAAAACCAGGTCTTATTTGGCCCTGCACATGGATTCACAATGGAAAAGGTGCTAAATGTTGTATGGTATAGCATTTGTTGACACTCACATGTACCTATGGTTTTCCAACATGTAATTTAATGTGAATCAAATTAGGTTTTGCCCTTCACTGACGTATAATTTAGTGTTACTGGACTCTTCTTTTTTTGCCTTACATCATCAGATTTCCCTGCTTGCAGTGGTCGGGAATGGACCTGTGATAGTGGCGAATGCATTGCTGCCACTGTGCGTTGTGACGGAGAGTACGATTGCGTGGATCTCTCAGATGAAGTTAACTGCAGTAAGTATTTAATAATGAGCCCTTCCAAACAATTCCTCTTAAAAGAAATAGACACAAAAGGAAGTCAGATTGCAGCTAATGACACCAATTGGTAGGGCTGTGTGGAATATACCAAATATTGGAATGTTCGACCATTAACCGAAAATCACCCCCCCCCCCAGTAACTCCGAAGGTCTCGTGTTATTCATTGTGCATTTTGCATTTGAGCATTTGGGCTTTTGGGCTTCTTTGATGAATGAGCTTCATAGAGATATTCAAATACTGTGCAAAATTGTGAGCTTTCCATCGGTTCCAAAGCATGGATGCTCCCAGTAAGCTGCATTCAATCTGTGATATATCTCTTCAGTGATACAATTTAGCTCTATGATTGTTTACCACATTTGTAACTCCTCAGCAAATGTGGTGTGCCATCCGTCCAAGACGCAGTGCGGCAGTGGAGAGTGTCTCCCATCCTTCTTCCGGTGTGATCATTACTCGGACTGCTGGGACGCCTCAGATGAAGTCAATTGCAGTTGAGTGTTGCACCAATTTTGTCGGCTTGAATTCAAAGAAGAATACTTAATTGGTAGTTACATGGACTGCAGAAAGTTACACATGATGTCTTTTTTTTATTGTCGTGATTTCAAACTGTATCCTCTCCATTGATGTTGTTACTGGAAAAGAAATAATTTCAAAAGCAAGAAAACAGTATAGTTTCTACATTTTGATTTTGGAGGTGTTTTGATCTTGTAGCTGCAAATTTATCTTGGCTGTAACATTTCATTGTTGGTAAAGTGTTCTGGTTGAGAGTATGTAATGGCAACTCATAATGTCATAATGGCAACTCATAATGTCATAATATTGAATGTTTATAAATGCAATGTTCCATTCCAGGAGGTGAAGTGGAGAGAAAAGGAACATTCCATCTGTCACTGGCACCGAATGAAATAATTGTTTTCTATTACACAAATGTGAAAGATTCATTATTTGTTTTATACAAAGCCTGAATAAATCATCGTCATCTGATTGGTCAGAGCTGCCAAAAGTGTGACCATGCAATACAACTTCCATTTACCGTGGAATGGAACTTCTCTTTTTGCAGTGCAGCAGTGCCATGTGTTGGAACAAATAATTTAAAGACATTTGATCAATGTCTCACATATCAGATGATGGTAATGTATTCAAGTGTTGTATAAAAGGAAAACATAGAGCACAGGGTAGAAGCTTGCAAAAATTGTCCTATGAGCTCCGTGCGCCAACCAAAGAGGGTGCGTTTTCAGCACTTTTGAGAGACCGTGGACGGGACATACAGCATGTGCGTATGCTTACTGTACTGAATTGGTTCGCGTCGAAGTATGTACGACTTCCTGAATACGCCAAAGCTTTCAGCCACATCGTCTTTGCATTAGCATCAGGCGTTGGCGCGCGAATACATAAGAATTTAACTTGCGATGGGCTACCAGACTAATCCCTGCCCTCAGTAACTTTGGATCATTTGAAACACGCAGTGGATGGACCGGGAACCAGTCTAGGTCTTTCCCAACTCTCCTTTTCTGACCCTTGAAGGAGTACTTGTGCACGGTATATGTTTGGCAGGTGCATTTAAATAGTAAAACCATTCTGAAACCACAGACTGAAGCACTGCATAACATCATTGAAACTGATATGATTAGATCAGTTGTTGTGACTGGTGCAACTTAAAATACACTGAACTTTTGAACAAAATGAGTCACTCACTGGCATAAAGTTTCATAATAATTGGCTAAAGGACTTGCAGTATAAGCACTGGAAGGTAGGCATGCGTACATTACAGTCACACATCCGTTATTTCACAGCCCATGCTCCGTGCCTCAGAGAAGATTTCACCTGTAACAGCGGCCAGTGCATACAATCCTCATATGTGTGTGACGGCATGATGGATTGTAGTGACGGATCCGATGAGCTTCAATGTGGTGAGTTCATTAACAAAGATGTCTTTCTTCCCAAATTCCACGGTTGCATCACAAGCAAAAAAAATATTGCTAAGAACATGTTACAAAATGACAAAGTGACAAATTGTGCTTAGCAAATTTGCTGCTGAGAAGCAGGGACGGTCAATATATGTGGGTCATTTTGGCTGGTTACTGGCTGCTTTTGCTCACCAAATGTTTCCTGTGCTTATTAGCTACATTTCTTTGGTTATAACACCTCCATTAAATTTTCTCCACTGGTAATCACTATTCAAAACTTGCGTTTTGGCTGGTGTATGAACCTTTTATATTGTGTACATAGCAAGTCCATCAAATTGGCCCAAATTATTGGCCCAAATTGTCATTAGAATGTTGGCCTAGATGTTTATAAAACAAGATGAGGCGAGGCTAGTTCAAGTTGGCCCCCCAGAGCACACAAAATTTTGTTCAATCCATTTAGAAATGGCTATTCACTGGAAGTCGTTTTCATACATCTGGCCTTCACAATGGGTCAGATTTAGCCCATCATTGGCATCCACCACAGTGCCTTAGCCTAATCCTCTTTTCAAATTTTTATTCCAAGGTACTGTGGTGGATCCAGGGGGGTGCGGAGGGGATGCCCGCCCCTGGCAGTGACCAAAATGTTCTCAAAAAAAGGCAATTTTTACTTGAGAGAGCCCTTCCGCGCGCCCACCCCCAAGACACCCTCTGTCCATCCCCCCCATCTCCCCCCCCCCCCCCCGGCAGTAACATCTCTGGATACACCCTTAAAGAAAGTCTAATTGCATAGTTGAAAGGGGTAAGTGAGTCAGTTAAGTCAGTCAGTGAGTCCAAAGAAGACTATAGGCTGGTCCTCCCTGGGACTAGCCAAAAGAAAGCCCCTCACGAAACAGCCCGGCATCTTTCATTCCTTTTGCTGCCACTGCATATGAAATCGTACTGACTTGATAATGCCTCATACGTATCTGCACCATCTTATCTTAATTAAACTGCAGTTTCCAAATATATTTTTGCATTGCCTACTTATTCTAAATTTCTTATGACAGTGGGGACGTTCTCCTGCCCGCCCCAGCAGTGGCCATGCTCAGAGTCGTTACGGAAGTGCATCTCTATTGATAAACTGTGTGACGGACGACAGGACTGCCCCAATGGAGAGGATGAGCGGGTACCATGCAGTGAGTTTATGATATGGGGGACAACTAGGGGGTACCGACTAGCCCCCTCCACACTACATATTAACCAGTTGTACTTGACGTTGTGTGTTTTTTCTTCTAGTTTGTACAACAAGTGTATAAGAACATGTGGTCTGAGTATGTGGTATTTGGTCATGGGCTGATATTTGAGTATATTGACAAAAACTAGATGGTGTGATCAAGTTTTGGCAAAGACTGTGGTTAACCATAGTCCAACTAACTTTACTCGAAAGCAGAATGGTTGGACTACTCTAGTCCACTATTTGGAACCGGACCACAGGAAACAGATGCATATAATAGACACGCGCATCATAACGCACATCACAGCCAGGACACAGATGTTTAGTGATGACATTTTTACTAGAGACATTCACACGTTGCTGTTAGAGTGCAAGCATAAGTTACGTCACAATCATACAATAGTTGACAAACCGTCTGAACGTGTTCCATGCTGAAAAGAGTGTAAGTTCTAGCAAGGGCGTCAATCACTTTTCAAACAAAAGTGGGGGGACATTCGTTGATCGGAACTAATGCGAGCGCGAAGCCCTAACGGCGTGGGGTTTGGGGCCCTCTTAATTAAGGGCCCTGAAAACTTGTGGATGTTTGACACTCTGTGGTGTGATCTGAGGCAATTTCTGACCACTTTAAAGCATTTTTTTTCGGAGCAAAAGATCATAATTTAAACATCAGTTTTAAGTTTGGAATTGAATCAGCTATTCTGAGCTATAGACTCATAATGTAGGCTACATTTTTTTTGGGGGGGGGGGACGAAAAAAGTGGGGGACAAATGATATGATATCCCCTTCCCCCACTTTAAAAAGTGGGGGGACTTGTCCCTTGAGACAACTATAATAAAAAGGCTAGTAAAACTCAAAATCAAACAATCATCGATTTTCAAGGTTTTTGTCACTTCTTTAGCAAAGCGACGAATATAGTGTATGTTAAGAAACATAAATTTCTTGCTAGAATTTTCATTATGTAAATTCATGTTTTCAAGCAGTTTTGATCAACTTTTTGGTTCCAGATACACATTCGTGTGGGTTTCTGAGCTGTGAATATCGATGTCATGGAGCACCGAATGGTGGGACATGCTACTGTGATGCTGGCTTTGTTGTCAGTTCCAACAACAGAACTTGTGAAGGTATGTGCAGATTGATAGGTCATTTTGGGAATTTGTAACGGCCCGGTCGACTTCACATAAAAATCCACGTAAGTGACATATCCAGTTTTTTGGAGAGAGAATATACTTTTTCATTTGGACAAGCAACTCGGGAACAATCCCCCCCCCCGCCCCCTTGATTGGACATTTGGGAGATGTCCCCCCAGACTTGTGCACAAAACCACAAATGTGCCTAACCCAATGTTCCCTTGTCCTTTTTCCATGAATTTCGGTATGTTTACTAATTAGACCACAAGCAACAAATATAACCTAATTGCGACAATAAAATCGTGCCTCTAAAGGGGGGGGGGGGGCTGTGACATTTGGGAGACATGAAAATTTCTCCCTAATGCCCGATGTCTCCCACCGTTCGAAGAAATTCCGATACCGTGTCTTCTTAATGGTACATTTAGTCGTATAATAATAAAAATAACATAAATAAGTCAATAAATACAAAATCTGCCAACTCCAACTCAAAACCTGGATATACCACTTTTCCTGTCTTGAAAGTGAATCTTGCGCCACTTTTCACTTGTGGTTCTTGTTGTGTCATATGTCACAGAGTGAAAGGCTATGGTTGCCAATCAAGGCAGGTGGGGGGGGGGAACAAGAGATTTCACCATGAAAAGTGGCGCAAGTCTCTAAATAGACCCTTTCATAAAATTGGTCACTGCTCAGTCAACTGTGAATGTAAGAACATGATCAGGATGTCATTTTAAAGAGGAGATTCAACCCTAACAGAGGATATCTCCCTTTGATTCACATGTGCCCTACATCTGTTCCAATTAGCAATAATATCTCTGTTTCATTTTTTTTATCCACCCTGTATTACATTCAGACAGGTAACTATATCCTCTCGTTTTGCTGTTGTCCAGTCATCCCAATGCTACATAAAGCATGTTGAATCCCATGTGAATATTGATAATGCTTGCAGAATCAGTGGAATGTATGTGCCTGCATCAGCCCTTTTTGTTAATCTAAAAGTTCCCTTTACATTTTGAATTATTGCATTAGTTTTAGGTACTCCTACCATCCAAGTCGTCGTGAGAAAGGAACAATTTTCGAGTACGATGCAACAGACCACTATGGCTGCCACATATTTGAAAAGTTTCTTTCCAAAATGCAACAAATGCCATTTTGTTACCTTTTAGAATCCCGCTCTCTCCTGGCTGCCCAAAGTCAGTTTTGATGGCTCTAATATTGTTAAAGACAATTTAAGAATACGATAAAGCGAAAAAAAGAAGAAGTTAGAAACACCAGTAATATCATTTTTATTTTCAAAGTTTCATAACCGTGGATACTGTGCGTTTTGGAAATAAATGTGTTCATGTGTACATTTGACAATATTCATGTTTCAAATGATTAGGATAATTTCATGTATTGACCCAGATTTTGACGAGTGCAACCATTGGGGCTACTGCGAGCAGGGATGTGTGAATACACCAAGCTCATACCAATGCTCGTGCCAAGATGGCTACCAGCTGGAAGGAAATGGACACTGTAGATCACTTGGTAAATATGTCTACCCTTACTGTTTGATTCTTTAGTTGCCATAGCTGCCAGAACAAAAAAAATTGCTATTTTTCAATTCTTGACCGAGTTGATGTGGGACATGACATTTTTAGCACCCGAGGGGCGCCTCGCCTTGGGTGCTGTGCCATGAGGGGTTAAAACGTTATATCCCACATCACAGCAGTCAACAATTGTTTTGTCATACCGTGCCAATAACTCAAAAAGACGGTTATTACTGTGTAAGAAATCAATCAAATCAAGTATTTGACGTTGCAGTTCTCATTGCGCAAAGCTAGTGCGCCGGCAGGTTCCATACGTGCGCACAAGGCATGCATGAATGCATGGCGATATCAACCTCAGTGTGTGGCGTGCATTTTTATTGTCCAGACACGTGGCCGTCCTAGACCAATGAAATTACTGTATCCAAGCACATGATATAAAAACTATATTTTAAGCATCAAATTTTGAGCCAGAATTGTAACAAAAGACTGACAATGCATAAATGTGTTTGATTCACTGTTAGATTCACCGTAGATATAGGTCTCACGTACACAGGTTTGAAGAGCATTTTGAAAAGAACGTGTGTGACTTGTGGTCTAAAACCTCAACTTTTAGAAATGCAAATTTTGTATCCTGAATTTTCTTAAAAATGTTCCACTTGGTATAGTTTATCTTTCAAAGAAATATCATTTCATATTGATATTTCATAAATACCTTAGACAGTTTACCCATTCCTATTGGTTGAGAGCCCGTCATGTGGGTGGTTTTAAAACCGCTGATAAAATACCAGCTGGTTCTAAACACTTTATTCCTGCACCACTGCGTTCTGCACCACATCACGCAGTACACGCTTTCCATGTACAATCTCCATAAAAAGCACATACCTAGACATGGCCAGAGGGGTGTTTGACAAAACATGATGTAAACCTTTTGGTCACGGAATAAAAAGGCCCTCCCCGTCCGGCATCTAGCCAGTTTTAAATGTACTTGTAATAAAACTGGCCAAGCACATATTTATTCTCTTAACACATTTTCATGACCAAAGAGATGCTTTCTCTCAAAACTGCTCCTTTAAATATGACGTAGATTTTGTTTATAATTCTCCAAATATTTCCTTTTCCTTTGCCAGCCACGGACACACCCTACCTTCTGGTTTCGTCAGGCCAAACCATCACCCGCTCCAATCTGAATGGGCACCAGTCAAGGACCATTACTACTACACCCGAAGCAATCACGCCTGGTCCACTGGCATACCATTACACCCTAGGAAAGATCTTTTATTTTTCCAGTTCAGAAGGCAAGGCAAGTAGACCTGCCAGGGTGGGCACGTAAAGTTCTCAGCGGAGAGGCTGATGGAGCATTTGTGTAACTATTCTCTCAGCAGTAAAGGGGCAAAACTGAGGAACAATTTATATACAGCCACCTTGCATCTTCACATGAAGACCCTTGGATTTTTGCTCATTTACATGTGCAGTACGCTTGTGCCAATGTTGTGGTTCATTCATCACAAGTTTATTACAAGCCCAGCCACAAGTACAAGCCAATACACAAGTCTAGTTACTAGAAACAGAGAATGAGCTGTAACAATGCTTTAGTCATAGTTCATGTGAATAGTGTTTCATTTGATTTGGAACTTGATGACTTGTGATCGACCTGTGTGCATGGAATAGACCGCTTGCAGACGCGTTCGATAATCGACGCGCGAAGGCGCGCGACGCCATGTTGTGGGACAAACGTATATCTATCCATGCACATTTTGTCCCACAACATGGCGTTTGCACCTTCGCGCGTCAATTATCGATCGCGTCTGCAAGCGGTCTATTGGTCCAATTTGATCTGCTTCAGGAAAGTTTACTAGCCCAAAACCAATTAAATCTGGCAAACACAATGAGAAGTCATTTCTGTGGTGATACCCTGCTCATACATGCTGAATGTACTTTGTGTGCATTCTTAAATTTTAGGAGTGGGTGCATTTTGGAAACCTTATTGAGTGTGTGAGGAGCATTGAGTGTCTGTGTGTTGGTAGTGCTTGATTGTTGTGCCATCAGATTAATATCTTCTAATTTTGTCACCCGATAAGTCAATAAGGCCACAGTTTCAAGTGTTTTCATTTGGTTAAAACAGTTTTAAAAAGTCTAAAGCAGATCCTAGGTTTGTCACAAAGATCAGACTTTCCTCCTTCCAGATTTACTCCTGCAACTTAGTGGGAGGCAACCCCACCGACCCGCAGGTAGTCCTCCAACTCCTGGGCAACTTGAAAGTCTCAGACATAGCTGTGGATTGGATAGCCAATAAGCTTTACCTGGTAGAGAATGCAGGTAACCGCATTGAAGTGGCCGAGTTGGACGGATCACACAGGAGCACAGTCATTGGTTCCAATCTGGGATCCCCATCGGGATTAGCTTTGGACCCCATCAATGGGTAAGAAGGAACTATGCTGTATAAAAGTGGTTAACCCTCAAATAAACAGTCAAAACAAGTAAGAAATTCTACATTTGCAACAATTTATTTTAGCAATTTACTTCACGTTTTTAAACACCCCTTTGGCTATGTTATGATATGTGCCTCTCGGGAGTAGTCATAAACAACTCCTTACATAGAAGTTGGCGTGTGAGTTGCACGTACTAAGCGATGTGGCCTTTACCTTTTTTCACTTTTGTTCAATTTTCTTGGTGCCCCCCCCCCAACATTACTCCAATCAGGATAGGAAGCTGCCAAACTTCTGAAATATCATGTGGTTGTAAGTGCCAGCTGAGGTTATGAGAATTTGAATTGACTTGCCTAGTGTAAAGCCATCATCATGATTGTGCTGGTCATTGTCAGACTTGATTGATGTCCGCAACACAATCGGTGTTTGGACATGTTTCCATAAGCAGTACTTTCCTGTGGTCAGCCTATGCGCGCTCTTCAGCTTCAAAAAATTGGTTTTTTTAACTTCTTTAAGGTTGCCAGTGAAATTTTTGGTTGGTTGGTTTATTTTGTTTTCTGCGCAGGTACATGTTTTTTGGCGATGCTGAACAGCCTTCATTTTACTCCAACATGGTTCACACGGTTTATCAAAAGATTGAGCGTGCTTTCATGGATGGCTCGCACCGATTTGTGCTGACAGACCAGAAGGTGCATACCGTGAGTGGGATTGCTGTGGACATTCCAGCTCGTCGAATATACTGGGTGGATCACACGCTGGATTGTTTGGTGACGATTACTTATGAAGGTCATCAAAGGTATGTGTGTTTATCAGTTTAACAATCGCGGGTCTACATTACTTTCTTGACAGATGCCATGCTTCAAGTAGTCTATGGAATAGCCACTTGAAAAGCAAGCTGTGATATCCGTGCAGATTCAGCAATTAATTATGCAAAACAACACTGCATCTTGACCCGCGGATTCTGACCATTCATAATAATAATAATGAAAATTTATAAAGCGCTGGTATATGCCGCAAGTGGTGCTCATGGCGCTGCACTGCATAACAACCAGAAAACAATAAAAATAAAGAAGCACGTGGTTGACTCGGCCCTCTACTCATCAAGATGCATCCTCACACTCCATCAATATAAATAAAAACAAGACGACATCGTCAAGCAAAGAGGCAGAAACCAAAGTCAACCAAATGCTTCCCTATGCAGGTAGGATTTTACGCTGTTCTTAAATGTGCCAAACGAATTGGAAAGTCTCATGGTTTCAGGTAGGAAATTCCAAAGTCTTGGTGCTGCAATCTGAAAACTTCCCCCCCCCCTCCCCGATGATTAGCCATGGTGTCCTTACATGCCTTAAGGAGTTTTTGTTGTGAGGATCGTAAGCCCTGATGCCCCAGGGCATAGAACTGGACAAGATCACATTCAGTGGGCCCCTTCTATCATGTCTTCGGTAATCTGTTGTATTAACAAAAGAAATGGCAGGAAACTTACCAATCAACTGCTTCATTCACATTTCTGCAGGAACTTACGTCTCAATTTCTAAAATTGATTCTAATTGGCTGGCGTGCGGATTCGGCCTCGCATAAATTTGCATTGCACATATATATCAGACGTTGGTTGCGATCACTGATCTCTATATAAAGACTGGATAGCTAATACAGAGCTGCACAATGTACGAATTTGACGCCATATTGGTGAGACCGGCTGGTGATCTACAAGGGACAAGTTGCCGTTTTTATAGACAGCATGATTTCTTTTGTAACGTCGCGGTTCACTTGACTTATATTTTGACCAACATCACTGACCAAGGTTAACTACAATTTTTCTAACATCGTGGTTACTAAAAATGCCGCAAATATAACTTTTTCGGCATTTTGAAATAATAATCACTACGGAAATGTGTCCCTTTTAGAACATCATAATATGTGTACGTGACCAAAATGCGCGTCAACTGTTGATACAACGCGCGCGTATTTACGCGTAGAACGTTCGTATCATACGCGGCCATCTTCGTGAGACCGGGGGTGAATTGGTCAATATGCGAAGTCTACTGTGTGAATGTTGTATGCATATCCGCTATCCAGTCTTTATATAGAGATCAGTGGTTGCGATGCTAGCATGCGGTTTCCGTTGACTACAGACAATATTCGGACTATTACTGCAAGATCCAATTTTCATAATGATGGTCAGCACATAAATTCAGAGCAGAGGAATGTCTGGCATGACAAAATGTCTTATGAGACACTGTGAGTGGTTGTCGGCTGATTTTTGCTTAAGATAATTTGCTAAAAACTAGTGTTGTAGTTCTCATACTGTTGATCTTGGAAATGTTATCCCGCTGGAATTTTAAATTCCAGCATGGGAGGTATGGGGGCATTTGCTCCCCAAGTTTTGTCCTTGCCCCCCAGTTTGCCCCCTCCACCCTTTTGTTACCCGAACACTTTGTCTACAAGTAGATTAACTATGTTTATTTTCTTTGCTGTTAAGATTCATAAAATTTGGGGCCAATGAAAGCATTAAAACATTGGTATACTTTAGACAATACACGCCACACATGCATGTATACAGCCTACAGTGTGCAGCTAATGTCTTTGTTATACATTTTGTTATACACCATTCTGCCGTTTGATACATTTCTATTTCATAAAAACCACTACACCTCTAAGTTGCTCTAGTGGCTTAATATTTCCAGACCAGTACACAGGCTTCACAGGCTTGAGATTTGTTTTGATTGCCCCCCCCCCCAAAAAAAATTGTCCTTGCTCCCAATACCCCCCCCCCCCCCCCCAATTTTAGAGTTTGGTGCCGCCACTGACTATTTCAGAAGTTTTCTAATACCTAGTTTGACATCAAAAAAATGCCTTGATCAAGATTTTTGTTCTCATTGAAATTTGTTTATACTCAAGGAAATGTGTCTGCTAATATAAAAGCTCAATGAATTTGTGCCCAGAATCTCTGAGGAGGGATTGGTCATGATGTGACTGTAGAATTTTACATTTTACCATGTACCATGTAACTCTTTTGAGCATCCCTCTTCAATTTGAATCAGTTGTAAAGCAAGCAAATGTTCAATGGAAGGGTTTGGGGAGGGGGATGAGCTTACTGAAAGAAATGTCTGAAATTGTTTTGGCGTACAGCTTATACGAGACTAAATTGACTAACATTATCAGATAGTTGATATTAGCCCAGATTTAGGGTTTAAAATTAAAACTGTTTGCCTCCAAAGTCTCAAATCTGAACATTTTCTGAACAACTCCCAAGGTACACTATTCTCCAGGGTGGTCTAGTCCTGCCTAATTCCCAGCTGTTGGCCATTTACGATCGCTACGCATTCATTGCTGACCACACCAGAGATGCCGTGCTGCGGGCAGACCGCTTTGACTGGACTGCTGACGCGACGGTGAGCCTGCCTGGTTCAGTAGGGGAGGCAAGCGGCTTGACTGTCTACCACTCATCTCTCCAGCCATCAGGTATTGTGTTACCAAACTGTTAATAGTATAAACTTTCGGTTGAGAAATATTCATGCAACACATTTCTGAAGTTCATGTTTGACCTCTGTATAGACACAGCAGAGTACATCATATGTACCCCAGATATTACTGTTATTGTTTCTCAATAAGCCATATTTGGTATTAGTCTAGGTCCAAGGTCATTCGGGATAAAATCGCTGACATGATTTTAGGCGATGCTACGCTATGTCACAAGAACACCCATTCTGCTAATAATTAACACACAAGCCGTGCCCCTATCTCCCTGCGCGTTCATGCGCCTTCAATGCGCATTCGAGTATCCCGAATGACCCGTGACCCACATCATTGTGTGCAGCACAGTTGGAATACCGAACTGGCTTATTACTGTTGAATATAATCTCAAAAGTTGCCCTCCTTACGATATCAAAATATACCCTATATGACTTGAAGCTTTGCATGGCAGATGAGATAAAGTAGAAAGATTGCGGGTAACACCATATGGAAAAAATCTCTTCTTGGAAGAAGTGTGGTTCTGAAAAGAATCGGATGGTTGAGTGTAGAACTCAACGTTTCGGGCAGTGTGCTCTGTATACTGTCCGAAACATTGAGTTCTACACTCAACCAACTGGGGGGGGGGGAATTCCCCCCCCCCAATATTATGTAAAGACTGCCTTTTTCCATCCAAATGCCCTTTTTTCAACGGGCTTACCCCCAATAATTTGTAAAGAGTGCCCTTTTTTTACGAAGTGCCCTTTTTTTTTGAACAAGTGCCCTTTTCAAAAAAGAAGTGGTGCCCTTAAATTGTGGCATCTGCTGTTTTGAGTGCCTTTTTCAAAATTTTGCAGATGTATGGCCCTGAAAAGCACCATATATTGGCCCTTTGTGTGCATAATTGTCAGTTTTGAACAGCGCCTTACGGAGGTCAAGTGTCCGGAGAAATAAACCTGTTTACATTTCACAACGGATGTGCAAGTGCCCTTTTCAAAAAATTTTACCCCCCCCCAATAAAAATGACCGTGCTATGCCCCTGTTTATCATCCATTTAAGACCGGCCACATGATGGGCTCTCGACCAATAGGAATGTGTAAACTGTCTTAGGTATTTATGAATTCTTCTTATAGCGTCAAAAGTGTTTTAAAACAAATAACGTGGTATAACAAAACGATTATCCATTGTTGTGTGTTTGTATAAATTTGCTTCAATACATTGTACAGCTCCAAACCCGTGTGGGACGGACAATGGCGGATGCCAGCATCTCTGTGTGATCACTCGTCGGTCTGACAACCAGGGAATCGGATACCAGTGTAAATGCGACATCGGTTACAAATTAAACGACGATCTCGCCACCTGTTCTAGTAAGCAAATCTTGTCAAGATCTAATGCAAATTGGAAAAAAAAGTTACTATAATATGAGTGATAAATGTTTCTTATGCGCAGTTTCATAGTGATGCTTAACAGTTAGCTGATCTGTTGTGCTTACCATAGCAGAAAAATTGTCTAACCGTACATGTAAGTGAATTTTCATAGACAAGACATGCTGATAGACATGGTGGTTGCTATTGTTGCACGACCAATTTTTAAGCATCTTCTGTCAGTAAAGTAAGCATCATACAAGTGATAGAACTGTATTAATCACTTGAGTACTTCTCGTTCTCTCTTGAAGAATACTCTTGTACGCATCTTGAAAACGGATATTTTGAATCAAGGTGTGCGATTGTAGAATAACCCCCTCCTCCATCGAAGCGGGCAAGGTGACAAAGCCACCTCGTATATTTAAATGAGATGGAGTACAATTTCACCAGTGAACTTTAAATGCAATGAGAGAGTACATCATGAAGGCACAATTTCTGAAGCATGAAAATAAAAATATTGTGCATTTTGGTTTCATGCAGGCATTTCAGCTTCATTTTCACGTCTGAGCTTTGAATGCAAATGCAGATATTCAAATAGCCATAAAAGAACTTTACGAAATTTCGAGTTTCGTTAAGGGTTGTACACAACATGGATGTGCCAAGCAGACTACATGATGGCAAGCTAGTTACTCCAGTTATTTAAAATAGCACTATGGTTAGCATGCTTTTTACAGAGGTCACTGCATCAGCTGTTTCTGTAAATTGTTTAGCCATGACATTTTGCCACATTTTAAGGGTTTTACTTACCTTTGCATGAGACACTGTGTCCAATCTTTGGCTTAATGCCTAATGCAGCTAGCACTTGATTTGATCTGTGCAAGTTCCGATTTTCTTGCATGAGCACTGTACTGTTTGCAACTGCCTCATAATTCATGGTTAATGCATTAGGCGCAACTTAACATTTTAGAAATTGTAACTGTGAAACCCACCTGCATGTAATTTTGTATTGATGATTGACAAAGGGGTTAAGAGGGATGGGATTTACATCAAAAGCATGGGCGTCACTAGGATGTGCCCCAAACAAAAACATAACAAAAAGAAAAAGGAAAAGGAAAAGGAATAGGAGAGTTTTGAAGTAAATATGTTACTGTTGATTTAATGTATATTTAGCAGAAGGAACTGTCGAAAGGACCCTAAAATGCATTTATGTACATGAATACACGTGAACAGCTAGCCTGCATAGCGCATGCATCAAATCATGCCTTTGCTTCTGATGAGTGCTTTGCTCTCCTCCCCCCCCCTCCCTAAAAAAAACCTGGTTTCGCCCATGATCAAAAGCATTATGAATCAGTGTCTTGCTTTCGCTTTCTGTGTAAGTAGCAAACATCACAGCATTGTTAACTCATATCCATTGCACTAATGTCACTAACTTGCCTCTTTAATTGGGTGTACTGCTTCTATAGGCAGTTCATCTAGATTGCATGTCTACACAGAAGTTCCACGCATACACATCAAGAAATCTTAACATGTGAGTACCATTAAAGAGGTTGTGGAATGCTCGAAGACATTTCCGTCATTTTTTGGGTATATGTAGCCTAAGGTGTGATGAAATAAAAACAACTATTGTTTCTGTCATGAAATGAGTACAAAGGTTACTTTTGAGAGCTATTTTTCAGGTCCTGTTCCGACCCGAACGTGCAATTTGTGTAAAAGTCGTCGTTGCGGGCAGCAAACAAAACACAGTAAATCGTGACGTAATAAACAGGACTCGTTTATGCTACTCTGCATCGGGAGTTCTGTTTATTACGTCACGATTTACTGTGTTTTGTTTGCTGCCCGCAACAACGACTTTTACACAAATTGCACGTTCAGGTCGAAACAGTCATGACAGGACTTGAAAAACAGCTCTCAAAAGTATCTTTTGTACTCATTTATGACAGAAAACAATAGTCGTTTTTATTTCATCACACCTTGGGCTACATATACCCGAAAAATGACAGAAATGTCTTCGAGCATTCCACAACCTCTTTAACCCTGCTAATTTAGCAAGTGAAACTGATGATAAGGCAAACACCAAACACAAGTACCACCAACTGCCAAATAGTGTGTAGCACCCTCTTCACTATTTCTATGTCGGGGGAATTTTTTTTGTTGAAAATCTCTGTGCCCCACATTAACTCATTTCTGCCACACCTACATGTATAATGCAAGAAATGCGACCAAACCAAAATAGTGCTTTTTTTAACTTCCAATTTCCAATTAAGTTCCCTGGGTGTGTCTTATCGCTGTGTAGTACTTGTTCTTAAACCATTAATGTCATTTTTGCATCTAATATATTTTTAGGTTTTTGCGAACATGTTTTTGTGATATAACTTTGAACATTTTTTTGTTAATGAATTGTATATTGAAACGCAATTTAGCCTGTTGGCCATGAGAGTTTGATTAGTCATATCACACAAATAAAATGTGTATGACGTAAACTGACCTCACACTTCAGGCAAATTGTGCCTGTAGGGATTGTCTCACATGTATTCTATAATTTTTGGCTTTTTTTAAACTGTTTCCAAATCTTTCCATTGTAACATACAGAAGTGACATCGTTTCTTCTAGTGGGCGACAGTGAAACCATTCGTGGCATCCCATTGGACTCAAGTGTAGAAAATGATTGCATGCAGCCGTTTGCCTTTCAGGGTAGTGGCCAACACTTCGTGTTCTTCAGTAGTATGCAATACGATGCTGCCTCGGAGACCATATATTATATCCCTACCCTAAATTCCTTGCGGATGGTAAAACTAGACGGAACAGGTAATGCCCTTTTTATCAAGTGTTATATATTTTTTTATCATCACCATGCATGACAAGCCAGTAGAGGATCCAGAGGGGGGCACAGCCAGCACATGCTCCCCCCCCCCCCACGTATTTTTCACATTTTCATAAAAATGTTTTGAAGGAGGTATGTCTTGTCTTTTCCTCATGTTTCTTCTGCTGTCAACTGGTTATTTAAGCACTTCAAAGACAGACATGATCACTCACATGATAAAATCGTCACCGACACCACGAACTGACACTTAGTTGTGCACACACTCTCAAATTTGTATCCTTGTGGAGACATTCCTTTGTTCTCGTGTAGTAAAGTGTTCAATTTTGAAAGTGAAGTTTCAAAATGCTCTTATTTTAACCAGAATTAGTTTCCTTGGCTGAAATTTGGACTTAATATCCCTTTTCTAAAACTCTTCCATTTGCGACAGATCAACCCACCTTGGAAATTCCTAGTTTTTGAGTAAAACCCATATATCTATTTCGTGAAAACCTTGTGGAGACCTATTCATCTATAGAAATTGCCCTGTGGAGACCTTTACAATGTTTTGTTCCCTATTGTGTGTGTGTCTCCACAAGGATACGAATTTGTAGTCGTCAGTGCCTGGCATGCGCGTGTATTTTACAGAACCGCATTATTTTTGTTTTCACGAGCTGACACCCGGCACAGTTCGGCACTTCTAGGGCGCACTCCATATATTTTTGTTTTCACAAATTGACACTGATCTCTTCTCCAGTTAAAAAGGTTTTATGTAATCCCACAATTACAAGGATGGATTAAATTCGTATCAAGCCTTTCAAACCGGTTTTTTTTCTCAGATTTGTATTACTTCAATACAATACAATTGCTTGCGCATCAGTTTGTGAAAATGACCGCACTATACAGTTAATACAATTACTTGCGCGTCAGTCGTGAAAACGAAAAATCTTCTACTATGCTTTAGTGTCCGATGGCGCGCACCCACACCTGGAAAGTGTTGATTATACGGTTTTCAGGAATTGATATCCACTTGTGCGTGAGTGTCAGTTCTTGGTGTCGGTGACAAAATATATTGCCCACTTGTATGTTCAGGTTTACCTCCATTTGGGGCGCCACACGGCCTTCCCTTTCCGTAAATGCTGGATCTGTCACTGCAAGCCTTTTAATGCAGCTTTATACAGAACATGTAATTATGTGACCCTCCTGCACAAAACTAGTCGAAAATTGCAATGCATTGTACAGGCATTAGAAGCTGTAGAATGATGAATTTATTTCACTTTCAATATAGTTCATTTGTAAATTTCAGACTGTATGTAATTACTTCAAAACTTTATTTTTGTTAGAAGGTGTAGCTAATTCCATGACAAAATCTCTCGGAAATACTCAAAAATCACACCAAAACAAACAAAAACTTGTAAACTGAAAGTACCTATCACTGTCGGATTTTGTCAAACTCCCTTATTCTACACACAATTGTAAAGATCATTCAATGTCCTTTCCAATGAGCCAAAATCCTAGGGCCGATATCGCAAAAGGATTTAAGACAAGTCCTCACTCTAAGATCGATCTTAACTAACATGCATCCTAAGACAGATTTCATTAAACCCATTTTAAGCAAGACGTGTCAAAACTACCAATTTGATGGCTGTTTCATGTTTTTTTTCTACCGATGAACGAATCAGTTGTTGAAGAGAAACGCGCAAAACCAACTTCCCGCAGAAGAAAACTTACTCTACTCAATAAATACATGCAAGGTAGTTCTACACAAGATACGATAGTCATTTCATCACTCTATCTGAAAAAGTCAACTAGGTGTTGGCATATAATTGAATTTTGTAAATAAGCTATTTTTATTCAACCTACCCACGTATCAGGCTGCGCAAATGAATGAATAAGGTCCATGTTGACAATGTCACATCCTTATGAATATTTCTGGTATTTGTATTCCTGAACAGACAACCAGAAGATATTTTCAAGACAGTTGGCATGGACTAGGACCGGTTATGATTGGCTGTCAAAGAACTTTTACTGGAGAGACATGGATCGAGGTCTCATTGCAGTTTTAAAGATGGATGGCATCTTTGAAACAGAGACGGTTATATATCAGAATAATTCAATTTGGCTAGATGACTTTGCTGTTGCCCCTTTAGGAGGGTGAGTGCTAAATTCTGGTTTTGGATCTCTTAAGAAGATAAGGAAGGCCGTGTTCATAAATTAAAGCCTCTCCTCCCTAAAACACATTGTTTTCTTAATGGGCTGGCATGGCTCTGGCTATTTTTGCATTGTTTGAGTGATCTGCATCGTATACTGCTTGACTCTCTATGCTGCAAGAAGGGGCATGCTAAAGGGGATGGGTGGGGGTGTGCCGCCCCACCTTTCGATTCTTATTGGCTGTTTCGGCACTTTTGCCGAAACAGCCTTTGTTTTCGTTAAGATTTTTTTTTTTTTTTTTTTTTTTTTTTTTTTTTTTTCAGTCATTTTGCCCATAGCATTTGTACACGTTTTTTTTGTCACCGGCACTTTGGGCACTAAAATCAATCCGATTGACTTTATACTTGGCACACACTTAGACCAGCATCTGAAGTTGTGTGCCGAACATTGACGTCATCGTGACGTCATCGACTAATTTATTATAGAATTTTGAATATTTAATTTTTCCCATAGACTTTGTACACAGAAATCGAAAAAAAATTGTCGATTTTCAAAGGGCATGTTTGACTCTTTGCCAGTAATTCATTTGCACCAATCTTTGTCCAAGCAAAGACCCTAATTCAAACAACATTGTGTAATGATGACGTCATGATGACGTCATCCGGTGTGTATTTATAGGCAATTAAATTGTGACACTTTTAATATTTAAAAATGCATAAGAAATCAACCGTACGCGTCCGCAGCATTCTGTTACCGGCAAGTGGTAGAGTAGGTTGATGTCTTTATTTCATTCAGTGTGCGTGAAATCACGTGACCCTTGCTTCCGGTCGAAAAAGGCCAAAACCGGAAGTGGCTTATTATTTGAAAATGGTAATAGATATGAACTTGCTTTTAACGGTGTTAGTCTCTTGGCAAAAAGTATTCTTCAAATCATCTACCAATGACGTCATGCAATCTTCGAGCGCCCTCTAGCGACAGGTTGAAAATTTGCAAAAATGTATTTTGAATAGATGTCTGTGGCGAAGTTTGTCGGAATCGCCTAAATATTGGTGTATATGATGACCTTGACCCACTTAAGACGTGTGCGAAGTTTTAGGCGAATGACGTCATCAGACCGGAAGTTATAATAAAAAGACCCTTTTTCATTTGAAAATTCCTGAAAAATCAACCATGGCAGTTTTTATGTTAGTTTTTACTTTAATTGTCGATTTAAGGGTAGGTCTAAAACATTTCAAAGCTTCAAGGCAATAAGCGAACTCGGACATGCCCTGCGCACGCTTAAAACTTCAGGTTGACAATACATCTGCTCTAAAACATGCACAGAACGTCTATATGTACATACACGTACATTACGCTCATACATCGTACATGTATGTCAGTCAGCCTGCAGAGCACGTGTTGCCGAAGTCAAATCCTGTCCACATCACAGTGACCGTTTTAGCCGATTTTCGGCTAACTTTGACAGATTTTATGTTCATGCATGCGCATAGTCAGGGACGTATAATAAAAAATCATAATGCCGAACAGCCCCATGTTACGTATTTAAAGGTGCAGTTTTTCTGCAGTGGGATTTTCCACAAGTCTTTTCCTATACAACACTGATATCTTACTGAGTAGTTCTGAACTTCAGCCGAGAATTACTATGAGAAGGAAAGAGAAATCGTATTTTTTTTCGCGCTGTCATTCGATTGAACATATTCCTAAGGGTCAGAATATCAAGTAATATTTCATAAAAATGTTTCAGTTCAAAGGCAAAGTACAAATTTAAAGGTGCAATTTTTCTGCAGTGGGATTTTTTTTTGTCCGTTAACTTTGTACACGTGTTAGCCCATTGACGTATTCAAGCCACCATTTCTATAACTTGGCGATCTAGAATCGTCATCAATGTTACAGCCAAGGAAGACCCTCATACAAAAATTATGCCAAGACTATGACGTCATGATGACGTCATCACCTAATTTTTTTTATTGATTTTTGAAAATTTACGTGCATATTATGAAGTCCTATATCTACAGAACTGTAAGTCTGATTGGGTTGAAACTTGGTATGTGGCTAGACCGGGATGTGTTATAGGTAGAAAAAAATTAGGTGGTCGAGACCTGAACATGATTTTTGCGGGAATTGATAGAATTATCGAGGGTCTTCATTTTTTAAATATGTGCAAATAAATCACGTGACCCTTTCTTCTGGTTGAAACCGGAAGTGCTTTGTAATTTAAAATTGGTGAAAGACGCGAACTTGCTTTCAACGATGTTTGCTCTGGCTAAGTTGTTCTTTACCATAATATTATAGTAATAGATAAAACTTTATGTGACGTCATCATGACGTCATCACGTGTCATGTGTCGTCATAATTCAAAGCCCTATGCGAATGGAATCACATATTATATGCCACCATTTATTATAAACAGAACTACACATCCTTCGTTGATGGAACACATGTCACATGTCACAAAAAGCTACCGAAACAGCCCTATGTTTGTCCACAAACATATGTCTAGTTTTCCAGCTTGTTTCCCTGCTGATATGAGTCCTGCATTACTTTTTCAGATATTTGTTCTGGTTGGAACAGCCGGCGAGGCAGCTGAAGAGGGCATGGTTGGATGGCACCCATGTGGAAACCGTACTCGACGCACACGTTGTGAACTCTTTAATGGCACTCACAGTGGACCACAGGGACAGCCTGCTGTTCTGGACTTCATTTCTTGAACATCAATCACCAAATGTAACATCAATCACCAAATGCTCTATACAAGTCTCTCATGGCCAATTTTAATTAGTGGCATATCCATGGGGAGGGGGTGGGGTTGGGGTTGGCAGAGGGGAAACTTTTTTTCAAAAAGCAGGACACTAAACATGTTTTTTTTTCATTTGGCCTTATGGTCTCATATCCAGTCTTGTAGTAGAGTACTTTTTTCCGAGTACCGAGTACTGCTGAGTACTTAGGTTTCCGAGTACGAGTATGCGTACTTGTACTTCTGAGTACAAGTTCAGGTCTCCGAGTACTTGTACTTCCGAGTACGAGTACGAGTACGTGTACTTGTATTTCGAGTACGTGTACGAGTACGAGTATTTCTATTTCCGAATACCGCCGTACGGCAAATGGTTCAGGCAAATTGGCCCAGGCAACTGAAAGTATCGATAATAAAATAAGGCCGTGGTATGTCAAGCTATACCATTTTTTTCGAGTACTGCTATTTGAGTACGAGTACTTTGATGATCAAGTACAACTTCGACATGTCGAGTACGAGTACTTTGCTGCCCGAGTACGAGTACTATCATTTACAGTATGAGGACTTTCACATTCGAGTACAAGTACGAGTACGAGTACTCCAACAAAAGTACTCGAGTAGTACTCAAGTACGAGTACCGAGTACGAGTACTACAACACTGCACATATCCTTAAAACAGATGCAGTAAGCCGATATGACGTCATTGGCTGTTTCGGCATTTTTGCCGAAACAGCCTTTGTTTTCGTTAAGATTTTTTTTTTTTTACTTTATTTTTTCTCTTTTTCAAGTCATTTTGCCCATAGCATTTGTGCACATTTTTTTGTCCCCGGCACTTTGGGCACTAAAATCAATCCGATTGCCTTTATACTTGGCACACACTTGAACCTGCACCTGAAGTTGTGTGCCGAACATTGACGTCATCGTGACGTCATCGTGACGTCATCATGAGTCACGTGACCCGACATTACATGCGATTTTTCTGTTGTGACCATTTTCTAGCAGAATTTGGCTAGATCTGACAGATTGGGCTGTATCTCCAGAATTACAGGTTCCGATTGGGTTGAAAGTTGGTATGTACCTAGACCAGGATGTCTTATAGATGAAAAATCACTTGACGTCATGATGACGTCATCTTGGACATATGACATCATATAATATAAACATATTTTAAAGGCCTATATCTCCTGAACTACAGGTCCGATGGGGTTGAAAGTTGGCATGTGCCTAGACCGAGATGTGTTATAGTTGAAAATTGAAGTGACGTCACGATGACATCATCATGGGTCACATGACGTCACGTTAAATATTAATAGATCTTTGAAAATCAATATAAAATCAACTGTGAGAGACCTGAACTTAACGTTTGCGGGAATCAATAGAATAATCCAGGGTCTTAATTTTTTTATATTATGTGCAAATCATGTGACCCTTCCTTCTGGTTGAAACCGGAAGTGCCTTGTAATTTGAAATTGAGGAAAGATGTGAACTTGCTTTCAACGATATATGCTTTGGCTAAGTTGTTATTTACAAACAAAAATATAGTTATAGATAAAAATTGATGTGACGTCTTCATGAGGTCATCACATCACATGTAACATCAAAATTCAAAGCCCTATGGGAATGTAATCATATATCGTCACCGACACCACGAAGTAACACCCATCTATATACCAGTAAAAACTAACAATCGGAGAAAACGGCAACTAAAGTTGAACGCCTTCTAAAACAACACTTTGTGTCAAAACAACAGAGTATTTTCAGTTGGGTTTCTCGTTGTGGACACCTGATTAATTGAATTTATTAAATCTGTTGTTTTTCACCCGTTTGTGTATTAAATAAACAAGAAATAAGAGAAACAAGATGAGTGTTAGTTCGTGAAACCGAAAAGGCTGCGAAACTGTAAATTTTCGTTTTCACGAAGTAACACTCTTCAATGTATTCGACACGAGGAAAGTGCAACTTCAGGTCAGCGCGCGTTCGCTCACACAACTTGTTACAAGAAGAGTGTTACTTCGTGAAAACGTTTTGCTCACTTGTCAGCAGAGTGCGCACCATGATTTGCAATGGTAAATGGAACTTGAGTGTTACTTCGTGAAAATGAAAATTGTCACTTTTGAGCAAAAGTTGCCATGGATACTTAGCGTAATTATTAAAGTAAAGCTCTTGAAGCTTTGAAACTTCGTGCAATGGTAGGCCTTGATGAATAATTTTTAAAAATAAAAAAAACTGAAAATCAAAAAAAAAAATGGTTTAACACGGCAGAGTGTTACTTCGTGGTGTCGGTGACGATATTATACCCACCAGTTATTATCAACAGAACAACACATCCTTCCTGGTTGGAACTTATACTTGAAACTTTACATGTCACATGTCATAAAAAAAATACCAAAACAGCCCTGTGTTTGTCCACAAACATAAGTTTAGTTTATTGTGTGTTACTGCAATAGTATAGGGTGATTTTGGGTTACTGCGTGTTACAAATTTTAGGTCATTGGGACTGACAGTAATTTGTCTACATTTGTACAGTTTTTCTTTCAAACTGTTCTCATTTTTCTTTTATTCCACCAATTTAAGATCAAACAGGACCCTTCAGCTTACTGATAAACTTTTCATTTTGTCTGCATTAATGCAATTAGATCAAAATGAAGTTTTCACAAAATAATGTGACTGAACTGGATTGCCATTTGCCATTTTCCTTTTTTTTTTTTCGGCCTGCGTGAAACGAAGTAAAATAAGGCTTTAAGTTAAGATGGTTTTGAGTAATGAGGTGAAATTTCAAGAACTTACCAAGTTGTCCCACTTGCCCTTTATATATTTGATATGTCTGAAGTAAAGCTGCAAACAATTTCACACTTGCAAATATACATAAAGCTATAAGTAAGTAAAACAGCAGCTCATTTTCAAATAACATAACAATTACAATCTTTCAATCCATTTTCTTATTTAGTCCATTTCTTATTTACGATAAATTACATGTTCTAAATGGCACCAAAATTATTCCAAGTGCCTCTTACAGCTTCCCACATTTCATTGTCTTTATTTATAAATATTTTCAGGAATAAAATTATCTGTAAGTGCATACAAATTCATTTGCATATTTTCTTTTTTTCAAATACAAATAAAAATTCATAAGCTAAAAACATCCAAGAAAACCATTCTACAGCTCTGCTCGTAAATCCCAAGTTCCGGAATTGGTGCGGCAACGCATTTATTTTTATTTTTTTTGGTAGGCTTTTCTTTTTTCAAGCTTGGATTGTGCAGACAAGGGTGGGTACTATTTTGCTTTTGTTGTGTCCTCACGTACATTGACGTCCTCCGTCATTTACCTTGGTGCCCTCCATCATTTGCCCTTGTGCATTTTCCCCATTCCTTGGTGCTCCTTGGTACAAACATTTGAGGTGGTGCGGCAATAGAGAGTGCTGTTGTAGTTGTGACAAAAGTTATTTCCACAGTTCCGGATTGTGTAGAAAATTTCAGTGCTTCAAATCTGACAGTTAGTTTATCCATCAACTCCAATCCAAAGTGAGTTTTGCATATTTCGAGACCCTGAAAGATAATGATTTATTTGGCTTAGATTCAAGCAAATGCTTTCTGTATCCAATAATAATAAAAGTATGGAAATGAACTGAAGAATGATTTAATTACAATGAGAAAAAGGAAAGGGATGCTTGGAGGGTTCAGCTTGTACGGAATTTCCAATACGAAAGGAACACCTTCCTGCATGAGCAGGCATTTGGCAAAGGAGAAGAGATGTATTAAAGTGAATATACAACATTTGCTTTTTGCTGCAATTTTCTGAAATAAATGGATTTGGAGGATTAGTATGTTATGGCAAATATTGTAACACTGACTGGAAAAAAACGAGAAAACTAATCATGTTCTTGTAGTCTGGTTCTCGAATGCCATTTGAAATGGGGCAATTTATAGACTTTTGGGAATTGTAAGTCAGTCTAGCAGGCTTGTAGTCTTCACACGTGTGTAATCAATTGCAAAGAAAATGCAGACAAACTGATTATGAAAAATTGGGAGCACTTTTTGAAAAAAAAAATGTTTTTTTTCCCCAAGAAATACTGTATTTTCAGGGGCTGATCCAGGAATTTTCGCAGGGGGAGGGGGTTTTCATCTGCAAAAAAATCTGAAAATGTACACAGGTTTTTCTCTGGACACTTGGCCTCTGTAAAATCAAAAACTGGTACCATATACCCGTTCAATTTCGACGATTATTAACACTAGATTACAGAATGGTGTACCGTATTGTTAACAGGCGGACATTATACCAGTACAATTTTTTTGGGGGTGGCACAGCAGGGGGGAGGGGTCAACTTATATTTTAGGAATTTGTATGATATTTCTTTTTTGACAGAGCCGGGGGGGGGGGGGTTGACCCCCAAAACCCCCTCCTCTGGATCCACGCATGATTTTTGCAATGCTGGTCGGCCAACCAGCGTTGGAAAAATACATTTTTTTAAAAAAATGTCAGCACACCGGGCGCCCCAAACTTAAAGGTTGCTTGAGACTGTCATTCCCTATCAATCCAGTAGGATATTTCATGATAATTTGATCTTTTCTTTTTTTGATGTTTGCAAATGTTGTATGTCTCAAGTTGGACCTTCTCTCTTTCTGTTTAAAGTATTACAAGATTGAGGAGAAGGGAAATGTGGCACCTCCCCATAAATATTACGTATTACAGGTGCGGCTATTATTAATAAGAAAATGATCTTGGCACATAAACATTAGACATCTTGAGCAAGCTTCCCAAACTGCCTCCTGGCAATTGAAGTCTTCACATATGCATGCTGCTTATTGACACATTTCATCATCTGAGCACTTCTCTTGATCATTACCTGTATGACCAGCAGTGTAATAATAAACAGAAAAACTTTGAAATATTTGACATTTAAGATAGAGTGCAGTTATGAGACATACACGATGATCAAAATAGCATGTTTTAGCGGTGTTGCAGGTCAACTTATTACTCAAAACCATCTTAAATTAAAGCCATATTAAAATTAGGTTTTGCCCTTCACTGACGTTATGTTACAATTATTAGGCCTATTGAAGAAGAACAGCAGCGCACCCTCATCAACTTCTGTTACCCCGTTCTTTTTTAATGACTAGCGCAACTGGCATGTGTTTGACTGAGAGCTTTGGTTAACCAAAGTTCTTAATAACACTTGCTTCAAGGTACACAGGCATCCCTAGAGGGGGTGTAGGGTGTGACACCCCCCCCTTAACCGCTTTTGTTGGCAAATCGACGTTCTGTCAGCAAAATCATGTGTCTCATTCGTATTAGTGCCTTGGCATTAGTGTGGGGATGAAGATGCATGCACCACCTTTTGTGCGATAGTGACCATGATCGTCTGCGTAGAACAGCGCAATCATGCTTTGAACAGGTGGTGTCATCCCCCCCCCTCCTCCCACATGCACTCACCTACGCATTAAAATAAAAATGTGCAACATCTATGTTATCAAAACTGAGTGTCATTGTGAGCTTGTAAGTTTCTTGAAAAAAAAGTAACCTGGAGTGGGGAAAAGGACCAACAAGAAATTGTTAATCTTTTATTTTCATTTTTCCCCTTTTTTTTTATTAGACTGATTCCTTATGGCATTGTGACTTCAATGGCCAGTCTCGCACGCAGGTTAATACATATGGAAAGTCACCTTGGTCCATATCAGTTTTTGGAGGTCAGTAAATTTTCCCTCAAAATTGAAGAATTATGAGCAATACAGTTAGGAATTCATATATCAATTGTGTGATTCTTTGTTGTCAGGTGGGAGTCCTGAGGCCCAATTTCAAGGCTATTTTTATCATAAGTGTAATATTTCAAGTTTATAACTTATTTTTATAACGATTTTGTTGGACTATTCCAGCTAGACAACTGTTCAGAGACAATGTACTTCCCCACAATGTACTTCCCCAGTATTGGACTGATTGACCCATTACTGTCTCAGATGTGAAATTTCATATTGAAATTTTGAATGTCTTGGAAGGTCATTAGAAAGTCCTTGGGCCTATTTGTCCCATATTCCACATTATGAGTGAATGTGTTCATGTTTCCTCGGCAGATTATGCATATTTCTTCTCCAAAATGGCAATTTACCGGGTCAACAAGACCCAAGGATCCTGGCCACTGGAGTTGTATTCCTCAGCGGGAGTGTTTTCATTTGTAGAAATACAAGTTTATTCTGATGAGTTGCAAACAGGTGAGCAGAATTAATCATTCAAAAGATTAAAATTCTTTTTGTCTGGCAATCTTGAATTCTCCATCCTGATTGGTCGATCCATGCATGGAATTGGTGACTGCTGTGATGTGGGATATAACATTTTTAACACCCAAGGGGCGCATAGCGTTAGGGTGCTATGCACACGAAGGGGATTCAGTTGTTTTGTTTTATAAGTCAAAAAGATAAATAATATTCGTAACTTACTAGGCCTATGTGAGAAATAAATTAAACCACTGCGATGTAACCTTTGATGACTGAAAGTTTTGATGTCCGGCCGGACAGGTCTCATTCACCTCATTACACGAAGCTAGTGCGCTGGCAGGTTCCATTCGGGCGAAATGAACACAATGCGATATCACTGATCTCCCCTAACAAATGGATATATGTGTGACGTGCGTTTTTATAGATCAGACACATTGGCTGTTCTAGACCAATGAAATTACAGTATCCAAGTACACGATATGACAATATTAGTCATCCTACGAGTGTGAGATAAAATGGAATAATGTAGTGAAGCTGTGTCCCACATCGACCTAGTGGCATTTGAAACAGCGACACACTACATTTTCTGTGTTCCATGAGTGTGAGTGGAATAACAAATTTTTCTTCATGCAAACTTGTTGCACAAAGATGGGACACGCACACTGTACACAAAATTTTCAGCAGTTATCCTATTACGCGTGCGCACAGCAGGAACGGCGTGCAATACCTTTGAAAAGTGTAATTTGTGGAATGTGGTATGGACCGTGCTACATGGGATAATGTAGCACGGTTTGTTGCCATTCATTGACCAATCAGGATCGAAGATATAAGTTTGCTTGAAGATATTATCCCATATACCATGGTCATATCACACACCTCTTACCATGCTCCAAGATGAGGGCATTATATTGCAGGGAGTGCACATGATACCTCTGAGCTTTTCTTTGCTGTGCATCAAGTTTGCTTAAAGATAAATTTGTTATCCCACTTGCGCTCAGGAACACGTTCATGGTATCACTGATACTATTCTGTCTTTTTTTTTCTCTGGAGGGTATTTTTGCACATTTTTTGAATATTTATCTAAGTAATTTATTGTTAACTTTAGATAGGACCATTGTACTGTGTTTTATGTTTGTTAATGATTCCAGGGGAAAATCAGTGCTCACGTCACGGTCTGAATGGTGACTGCAGCCATTTCTGCTTTGGGACACCGACAGGCCAGCGGACATGTGGATGTCCAATTATGATGAAGCTAGCAAATGATCAACGGGTAAAATATCCCTCAACTCATTGATGCCCCGAAGCTTATTTTTATGAAACTGACAGGGACTAACATCAAAACGGTTTTGGCTGCCACTTGTGCACGTTTACACTGACAAAATTGGAAATGAATTCATCAGAAGTCTACAGGGAAGACTCTTTTAACTCTTTAGTCACTGTATGGACTAATACCGCCCTGACTATTACAGTTGTAGTGCCCGAAACTGCTCTCTATATTTTGATTGATTCTTCAGTGAATAAACACATTGTAATACAATGTAGCTAATAGATTAAACACACTGCCATCCATTTATCGGAAAATTGAAAACCATAGTCATTGCATGTTGCCATGTCCTAAACTCGCACACCAGTATGCAATGCACTAGAATGTGTACAGAATTTTTTTTAAAAATCTAAATGTTGAACATTGAAAATGCATGACTTAAAGAAGACTTGAAAAAGAATTTGGAAAGAGTGCAAACTTAAACAAGCAATAATCCGAGGTTTAACCTGATGAGGTACCTCCTAGTAACCTGTAAAAACTAGTGAAAAACCTCGAGGTAAACTTTGAGTTACTGACAGTTTGATTTCACATTCTCCCACTTTGATGTTTAGTACTTGGTTTCCAGAGTGGAGCTTACAGAATATGGGGCAACATATTAACAACAATTTTAACTGAGACAGCTGGAGTTCCATAAAAATTAGCGAATCCTCTTTCAATACCTGTTGCTGTATATGTTTCATTTCATTGACTAAGGAAGTTGGGGTTCATGTACAATCGGCAGTGTCCTGCAAATGCTTTGACAATACCATAACTGGTTTGTGCAAAAATCTGTTAAAGATTTTTTTTATGCCCCGCGGCGAAGCCGAAGGGGGTGGGTGGATGCGTGTGTGTGTGTTCCTGCATTGCATTACGCTCGAGGACAGACGACAAAAGGAGCACAAAGGGGCCATTCATCCTCGAATGACGGTGCCTATTGTCCTCGAACACAGGTTTGTGTGCTTAGTCTATGGAAAAAGTTTAGATCAGGGAACAAAGGAAAACACAAAGCCAATCCTCGGAAGCATAGTAAAAAACGACTGTGTGGGTGGGTGTGTTCCTGTATTGTATCACGCTCCAGGACAGACAACAAAAGGAGCACAAAGGGGCCTTTCATCCTCAAACGACGGTGCCTATTGTCCTCGAACACAGGTTTGTGTGCTTAGTCTATGGGAAAGGTTTAGATCGGGGAACAAAGGAAAACACGAAGCCAAACCTGCATAGCAAAAAAAACGAATGAGTGTGTGTGGGTGAGTATGTAAACACCGGCAATCGTGGATGTAGGACAAAAGAATTGGGGCGCAAACAATACGTCCACGATTGACCGAATGTCCACGATCATACAAACAAAGTGCAAACAAAGGAAAGAGGATTAGGGACAATGGGGCGTCCACGATTGCCGGCATTTACACACGTGTGTGTATGTGTGTGTGTTCGGATAAATCTTGTCAGCTTGGTTTATGGATTGTTCTTGGTAATCCAAAGAAGCCTATTGCATTGGAGTCAAAAGGTCAAGGGTCAAGGTCACAGGGCTAAAACAATAGAAATCTTGTATTTATTCTGAGATCATAGGGATTCAATCATATAAAACCTACAGAAAACACTAATGCTGTCAATGAATGCTCCATGTGGCCAAGGCACATGTAAGTTGATGTTAAAAGAGTGATGTTATGTCATGGGAACAGTCACGGTTGCGGGGCATTTGTGTTTGTAAACACACCTGACTTGTTTTTATTTCTTTGTCTAAATAGGGGTAGTGAATTTATAAGGAATAACATAAGAAGTGCAAAGGGCCTTGTGATGAGCTACTCATCGTATGTGGTCTTCGCTCAAGTCTCATCATATTTTAACTGCTTAGCTAAGCCAGAGTTAGCTAAGTCAGAGTGCAGGGTCAGAGTTGCGATGGTCTTGTCAAAAGGCTAAAGTCTTCATTGGTTGGTTGCAGACCTGTGAAGCTGATCCAGATGCTGTGTCGCCGTGGGATTGCACAGCTACTGAATGGACATGTGATGATGACACCTGCATTATGGGTTTTCAGAGATGTAATGGATCGCCAAACTGCCCCAATGGTGAAGACGAAAGTGGATGTGGTGAGACTGTTCTCTGGTATCTTGAGGCAATTTTTGGGGAGGAAGGGGGGGGGGGCAGATGCAGCATTGGGAGTCCAGGCACGAATCCGAGGGGGGGGGGGGGGTTAACAGCTCTGTCAAAATAAAAAAAAATCCAAAGAAATCCCTTCTAAATAATGCAAAACACCCCCCCCCCCCCTGCTCTGACACCCCAAAATGGAACTAGTAATAATGTCCACCTGGGCTAAAAATACAGACATAGCCAGCTTGCATGGTCGGGGGTATTTGTACACTATCCTGTAATATAGTGTTAATAATCGTCAGATTTGAACAACACATCCTAGTTAGTATTCTGTTGGTTGGAGATAAATACCCCCCAGAAAAAAAACCTATATATTATGTTCGTACGAAAACTGATTAGAATCAATGAAATGTCAACATACACCTAATATTAAAACAATTTTATTTAACATTAAATTTCTAAGACTTAAAGAATTCAAGTTATGGCCACTCTTTGTAATTTACAAGTTTATCACTCAAAATTGCAATTAAATCTTCTGTATAATAAGCCAGAGCGGTATTTCAACTGCGCATGTGCACAACGATATGGGTCACGGGTCATATGGGATAATCGAACGATCGAAGGCACTGAATGCGCGTAGCATCATGTCAGCAATGTTTTCCCGAATGACTTCAGGTCATTGAAATACCAAACTGGCTTATTAAAGCTAGAGTCCATCATTTGCAGCCATCCGAAAAGTAACTGGCATAATTATTGTTGAAAAACAAACTTGGTTGAAAGATAGTAAGGGAACTAGACTCCCTGTGAAATTATTCTTTCTGGGAAGCTGTCATTTTGAAGTAATCAACGAAAGAAGGCATTTCCAATGGTGATTCTTAAGAAGCACCGTAGGAAAATTTAAATTAGTAGTTCGTTTTGTTATTCAGCGCAACGCGCACAAGTATTGGAACGACGCACACGCGTGCGCGGCTGTTGTAATTTGTCGGATCAGTGCGCGACGTCGCGTATAGCTGCAATTCAAAACATGATTCAGTAACTTTTGATTTGAAATTGAGATCTTAGAATGCTGTTTTTCTCGGAATGTACAGCTGAAGCTTAGCTGAAACTTCATCAGGTTCGTTGCTCAGTATCCTTCATTACATTTTGAACTCTTTTGTTGCTTCAAACGAACAAAATGCACAAATTACAAATGATGGACTGTAGCTTTAAGGACTCTTTAGTTTTATGACGTAAATACTTCATGTTGCATCTGCAAGTTAATGGATTAAAGTATTTTGTACTTCAGTGAATTAAGTGCGCATGATGAGTCTCCTTTTTTTTTAGTAATAGTAACCAAATAGTTTATGTATGATTAGCTCAACTATAACTGCTGTTGCCTTTACTCCTTTTTTGTGTGTGGATGAACTCAATAAATTAAGTACAATTCACTTTTAAACTTTTGTGTTTTTTAAACTCAAGTATCAACGTAAAAGCAACTAAAATTGAGTTTTTTAGTATTATTTAATAATTTAGATGGTTTAATATTACTTTAGTTAGGGTTCTTTTTTTGCTCTTCAAAACCGGCCATTATGCAAACTACACATTATCTGCCTATTTTCAGGGCATATTGTAAGGGTTTTGGGGCTTGGTTTTCATATTCCTCGTTCATATCAGAACTTTCTATACCATTTTGGGAAATACTGACTGAAAACAAATTGTCCCAAATTTTAGGGCCAGTTTTGTTTTCATCTCGAGGGGGAACATTTATGTCCTCAAGAGGGGCACTTGGGTTAAACTGGGGGGGGGGGGGGGGAAGTGATTTGGGTAAATTTTCTCCTTTCTGCTCATATACATGTATACTACAGACTATACTATGTCCGCGAAGTTTCTTACTCATCCCAAACTATGGCCAAAGAGGATAATTTCTTGGGCTTTTTGTTCAGTCTGTTGCAAACACTAAGCACAAATACCTCTCAACGGTGACAAATGAGTCACTAATAAGCAGACTCTTGTGCATTACTTTTCCCAACAGTGGAAGCAAAGTTGGAGAAGAATAGACCACTTTGCAGTACAATTCAAGTTTTAATCCCCGGATTATTGGCAAAATTGGCACAATGTTTCTTTGTAAAATTCAATATTTTTTGGTTTATTACTTTTTTTAATCTACAGCGGGGCAGTGTTGGACATCCAGATCATGTACAGACGATCCGAACATGTGTTTAGCCTGGTGGAAAGTGTGTAATGATGTGAATGACTGTGCTGATGGCAGTGACGAACTCGACTGTCCAGGTAAGTCTGGTGTACTTGCATTGCTGTCACTGTAAAGAGGTAGTCAATCCCATCTTTAATCCAACTTTGCTATTTTTTTTAAGGTGTGCGCATGCTTTGTTATAATTATTAATCAGTTTCAATGGGATGCTAGATATTATCAAAACATTCCGGAAACAATTCGTCACCGACACCACGAAGTACCTACATAAAATTTGTGTGAATTTCATTCAAATTTGGTTTGAATATTCACTAGAGTTGACAGCAACTTGCTGTGCAGTTACTTTTTGAATAAACTTCGTGAGTGACAGGAAAATAGACCTCCTGCAGGGCCATCAGGCCGAGCGACTCGGCCACCTAAAACGCATGTATTGTTAATGGATATCTGACATGCTCATTGTGCCCGAAGTGAAAATGCTGTCGTTTTGAATTCGATAAGTACGTACATAAAATTTTTCCACAAGCAGAAATATTTGGTTTCTACACCAAGCAGACAAACTAAATTTACATTGGGTACAGTTACTATGTTCAGTAACCGTTTCTTTTAGTTGTGGTTTCAGTATAAAGTAGAGGGTCTATGCATTAGCCTATACACATCTGCATGTGAATACAGCGCGTATTTCCATGCTGATTGTTTGTATGGAGGATGGCCTTTTACTTATAATGTCATTTTTTTTAAATTTTTAAACATTATTCATCAAGGCCCACCATTGCATGAAGTTTCAAAGCTTCAAGAGCTTTATAATTATGCTAATAATCCATAGCAACTTTTGCGCAAAAGTGACAGTTTTCGTTTTCACGAAGTAACACTCAAGTTCCATTTACCATTGTAGTGCATGGCGCGCACTCTGCTCAAATGCATGCAAAAACGTTTTCACAAAGAAACACTCTCCTAGTTTGAGCGCGCGCGCGCGCTGACCTCCTTTTCCACGAAGTAACACTCTCCTGGTGTTGTAATACATTGAAGCGTGCTACTTCATGAAAACGAAAATTTACAGTTTCGCAGCTTTTTTGGTTTCACGAACTAGCACTCACATTTTTCTCTTATTTCTTGTTGTTTTAATATACAAACGAGTCAAAAACAGCAAATTTAATAACATCAATTCATCAAGTGTCCACAACAAGAAACCCAACTGAAAATACTCTACAGTTTTGATGCAAAGTGTTGTTCTAGAAGGCATTCGACTTTAGATACCGTTTTCTCCGATTACCAGTTTTTACTGGTATGTATATGAGTGTTACTTCGTGGTGTCGGTGACGAATTGTAAGACTTGCTAAAATCTATTGAATATCTCTTTTGAACGTAAGAAAGGAAACATGAGAATTTTGGCAACAGTATTAATAGTCTGGCAACATGACATGCATGAAGGACGAAACTTGCCCATATCTGTTTTCTGTCATGCAGTGATTGTAATGTACAAAACTTTGATAAAAGTTTATGTACAATCAATGGTTTCAAGGTTGTGTTGAAAGATGCCTACATCTGGAAATACAGCAATATCCTAGTGTGGTACTTTTCCAAGTATAATGTACTGCTGTACTTTGTTGTTGTGTCTTTTTATTTTTTCAAGCCAATGAATGCACCGATGAATCCTTCCATTGCCAAGATGGCACATGCATCCCGGCGCCCTGGCGCTGTGATACTACCACTGAATGCCCCGATGGATCTGATGAAGTTGATTGCGGTGAGTTACCCCCATCCCTACCCCTCTACCCTCACCCCCTCCTCTGTCCCATGCCTACCAGAAACCTTTCCTGAAAAATCCAACACTAATTTAGTGGGTTGATTCCATCAAAACTCAAGTGAAATTTTATTCTTTTGGCCAGAGTCAATCTGAGTTCTTTTCCTTTATTTGCATTGTGTGACAGAGGGCTACACCTGTCCCCCAGACCACTTCAGCTGTGCATCTGTGATGAGGTGCATTTCACGTTTGGAGGTTTGCGATGGTTATAATGACTGCGGTGACAGAAGCGATGAAGCAAACTGTTGTAAGCAATATGTCAACATTCACTGGTTTCAGATCTGTCATTTCCACCTATTGTGTGCAATACGAAAGTGGTAAAAAGCAGCACACCCCCCCCCCCAAACAAAAACCCCACACACCCCCTCAAACAAACAATTGATGCAAAAGTTTCTTTTTGTGCAGTCAGTACAAAGATATTAACTGTAGGAAGGGAAATAAATAATTGTCAAATTTACCAAGATCAGAAAAAGAGTTAAAAGTTTCTTCTCTGTGCTGTAACCACCAGAATTATTGTCAAGTCAGTCACATTGGAATCACAAATCAGTCACAGGGGCAGGCTTTCAAGTTTTCCTACTTTTCCTAGTACCGTGCTCCTACTTTTCCGACTTTTTTCTTGAAATTCCTACTTTTCCTACTTTGTCCTACTTTTTGTTCCACAATTAATTTTTTTTTCATAACAGTGTTACACGCTGTCATAATGTTAATCCCACAATGAAGGGCTTGGGCACAGGAGTACTGCATCTGTACTTCCAAGAGCTTAGTTGAGGATGGGGCACAAGTGTTGTGAGTATAGAACATGCAAAATGAGGCTTATGATGCTGTGGACATGGGTGATGAGTTCAAATGAAAACTACACCTGAAAGCCCGCAAAAGTCCTACTTTTATCCTGATATTGTCCTCCAAAGTCCTACGTTTGTCCTGTCTTTTTGGTGGAAATTTTGATCCTACTGTTCTCTTACTTTTTCACCTGGGTCTGCTTGGAAGTCTGCAGGGGAATCATGAGTCATGCCATCTTATGCCAAGACACAAGCTATTCACATACCACTTGGGGAAATGAATTCATGACATTTGATTTGACTTGTAATTCGATAACAACTCTTGAACATAATTCTTCAACTAAAATGAACTCCAACCAACTTAACAGAGGTGGCAGCAAGTCATTTTTTGCAAGTCCAAGTCAAGTCACAAGTCATTGTTTGCAAGTCCAAGTCAAGTCACAAGTCATTAGGTCCAGTCTCAAGTCAAGTCACAAGTCATTAGGTCCGGTCACAAGTCAAGTCACAAGTATCTTTGTCCAAGAACGCGTCAAGTTGCACATTATTTTGTTCAGCTTTAAGAAAGAACCTGGCGTTAACTAACGAGTTATTTTGAACATGCCTCCTTATTTCCCCTTTTTCAATGTGTTGCAATTACTATTCTTGTAGTATATCACATATCCGTCGGATATTAGCCCTTTGTATACTTTAATATATGTACTTTACATTGTATAAATAAATGCTGAGATGACATAAAAAAAAAGACTTTACTCACTCGATTACATGTAGTATACTAACACTTTATTGTTCAATTTTCATGTATACTAAACGTCTATACAGGTTAAGCTATCCGGTATTTTACATGCAATTGACAAAGGCATGCTTTCTTTTCATGAAAGGTTCCTTTCAAAGTTTGTTCAACCATTACATTAAGCAAGAGACTTGGTCATTGAAAACTGTAGTTTGTTGTGACAGTCTTATTGAAAACTTTTGAAACTAGTGGGAACTATTCATTTTACTGGATTCAGTCACTGAGGTCTATTTTCTGGAATGAAACTTTCTCGCTGCATCTATAAACTGCATTTATAAATACCTTGAGTGGCCTTTTGGGCCTTGTGATGGGCGACTTCAATTAAAATAAAATCGAGTAGCGTCTGACTTGGGTTGGTAACAAGTCATTTTTTGCAAGTCCAAGTCAAGTCACAAGTCATTGTTTGCAAGTCCAAGTCAAGTCACAAGTCAAAGCTGGTACATGTATTTACAAGTCAAGTCACAAGTCACAAAAATAGCGACTCGAGTCCGACTCGAGTCCAAGTCACATGACTCGAGTCAGCAACTCTGTAACTTAATTTTGCCTTTTAATCTGTTCTCCTCAATGACAGTGCACACCAACTGTACAGAGTTATGGCTGTTTGCATGCAGTAGTGGGAACTGCATCCCTAGCTTTTGGCGCTGTGATAACGATGTAGATTGTGCAGATGGATCTGATGAACTAGACTGCAGTAAGTTTAACCTGAGAACCCTGTGTTTATTCTTTCTCCTGAAGATGATCAGAGCGAGTTTCACAACCAACTGGTTCTTTTCAGAACCACACATCTTCTCAAAAGAGATTCTTCCACATGGTGTTACCGCAAATCCTCACTAGTTAGCCCAATATTGTTCTGTCTTTTTGCTCCAAATTCAACAGAATCTTTTCTAGTGCCTAATACCTAGCTGAGGTGGTGTAGCTGTGATTTCACTCAAAACACACACACTACATACATGTATAATGCATTTTCTATTCAAATTATGAGCCACAAATGGACCATATCATAAACACATTTGTGTGAAATTTGCTGGCTGTTGTGTCTATAAATTGACAAAGGAACACCAAACAACAAACATTTGACCCCATCAAATGACCCCAAATTTCTGGTAAAAATTTTATCGCGTATGTATTTTTAACTATTAAAACATGTCTGTTTTGCTCATATGGCTGCTGAATAAAACCAAAAAGGCTGCAAAATTTCTGTAAATAAATTCAAAAGAAAAACTGAAAATAAAGTGTTTATGGTGAACAAAAGTCGGCCTCAGGTCGACCTGAATTGTTTGCGCCGAGACAACAGATCAACTATGATTGATTCCTGCCTGTCGGGAACACGTCGTATAAGTTCAAATTTTCCTAGTCTTGCAACTGCTGATGTTTATGAGTGCGGACTGATTCCAATTTTCTTAATATCGTCGTAGTTACACTCAGGTCGCAAGAAATCGGCGACTGAAATGTTCCCGACGGTCGTAGCTCAGGCGCAGCTTAATCCTGAAAAGTCAGTCGTAGACTGATCTGTGTCACAGCAAGGTCAACCTGAGGGTGGCCTTAGGTGCATTTCAAGGGATCAATTTACAAAAATCCAGCAGATATAAGTAAAAGGTACTGGTACAAAATGGGATATAAATCTGTCATGTTGACTTTAATCTTTGTGATGGTGGATTATATACCAATCAAAGCACACATGGTTAATAAATAAATGGTTTGATGGTTAAAACATTGTGCAAGGTGTTGTTCAGGTAAGGCATGTGCTTTAACGGGCCCTCCATGAATGTTATACCAATTTTGAGTGGAATGGGAGGAACATTATCGCAAGGTAAAATCTGGACTTTTTCATTTCAAGAGGCGAAGCCGAGTGAACTGAAAGTCCAGATTTTACCGAGCGATAATATTCCTCCCATTTCACAATTTATTATTATTATTATTATTATTTATTCGACCAGGACAAATCTTACAAACAAATATGACCCAAAACAACATACATGAACATTAAGGAAAACAAAAAAGAACCAATAAAGAAGTAAACAAAAAAACTATCGAACAAATCAATAAATAAATAAGTAGACAATACAACAACAACAACAACAAAAAAACCCATAAAATAACAAAACATATTAAATAACACAAAAAAAAACAGTAGTAGAGAGCAACTAGGAACTGACTCTGACTGGCTGAATAAAAGAATGAATGAATTAATGAACGAATGAGGGTGGTGTATGCAGGAGGGGATCTAGACCATGAAAGGGGAAAGTATTAACAAACAAAGGACAAAACTAACGACGAAACATACGGGCCAGGGACAACAAAAGTAAACTGAATTACTGTTGCTCGGAAGCATGCTGCCCCACTCAATATTTGTTTTATATAACTGACATATAGATCCTTGTCATTTGATATATTTGAACTTTTATTTCAATACAAAACTGGAGGAAAATATATTTCTCTCTTCCAAACCACCCCTGCACAAAAATGTTTGAACCCAACGTCGCAAGCTGGCTCTTTGGAACATAATTATGCGCTAAGCGCAACGCTGAACGCGCACACCAGCATGCATTTGCACACAAATACTGCGTCATGGAACAAGAATGATCCTAACTGTTCAATAGTGTTTCCCATTCTCCATGGGTGGATAGTACTTTTTGAGCCGCAGTGTGAATGGGAGCAATAACGAATGTCACGTGATGCGAGTTCCACCAATCAAATGACAAGGATCTGTATGTTGGTTATATAAACATAGATAGCATGCTCGAATTGGTTTCAAAGCAATATGAGATGTCAAAGTGTTGGATTCAGAAAACAAAATTAAACTTAAAACCCTTTCTTATACTTCTTCATTATTATATAATTCTGTGATGATTTCTTCCGCACCTCCCAAGCTGGCGATAATGGGTGTAGCTCAGATAACTATGTTAGGTGTACAGCTTCAGGACTTTGCATCTTGGCTAGATGGCAATGTGATGGTATTGCTGATTGTGATGATAGTAGCGATGAACCAGAGGACTGCAGTAAGTTGGTCTCATCTCATCTGTTTTTTTCTTAATTATGATATATATATTGCTCTGTCATGCTTTATAAAATATTGACTAAAACCAATCCATAAAGCATTCTATTTTCCTGAAGCAAAGTTCAGAGAACATAGAATGCATTATGGATCATTAAGGGGAATAATAATGCAACATGTGCTTTTGCTGTAATTTTCAAAAGTGGATGGATTTGGGGGTTGGTATTTTATAGCAAATATTGTTACACTGACAAGGTTTGTGTATGCTGGAAAAAAACAGAAAAACAATCATGTTCTTGAAGTCTGGTTTCCTGACCCCACTTAAATTGAAAATGGAGCAAGTTATAGGCAATGAGGAAATGTAAGATCAGGGAACTAGTCTAGCGGGCTTGTACCCGTTCATAGATGTGTAATTGATTGCAAACAAAATTCAGACTAAATATGGCATCTAAATATGGTAAATTGATTTTACAGGATGCTGAAGACTGTCATTTACTAACAGTCCAGAATTATTTTATTATAATTTGGTTGTTATGATTTTTGATATTTGCAAATGTTGTATATTCCCTTTAAGTGAGGGTTAAAGCAGTCAATATTTATTATTAGCCCCGCCCATAGATTCTGTTTTTCTTTAAAGAGATATATTATGATTAAAGGGAAATACAACATTTGCAAACATCAAAAAATAAAATTACCAAATCATTTTGAAATACCTTGCTGAACTGTTAGTGAATGATAGTGTAAAGCATCCTGTAAAATCATGGCACCTGTTATACTGTCATTTTCAAGAAAAGTGGTATTTTTGTATCAATTTCCAACGCTGGTCGGCCGACCAGCGTTGGAAAAAACTGGCTTTTTTTTTCAAATACTGGCCCCAATTGACCATCGCACTTGTTTGCAATCGATTACACACCTATGAGCGGGTACAAGCCAGCCAGACTGGTTCCCTGACCTTACAATTCCCCAATGTATGTAAACTGCTCTGTTTCTTCTTATATGGAGTCAGGGAACCAGACTACAGGAAAATGATTGGTTTTCTTGGTTTTTATAGCATTTTCGAACCAAAACCTCAAAAAAGTCAGTGTAACTATATTTGCTATATATTTCCAACCCCCCAATTCCATCCATTTCTGAAAATTACAGCAAAAGCAAATGATGTATATTCCCTTTAACTAAAACGAAATCTAATGTAAAACGTAATCTAATGTATTTCAATTTGTAATATGTTGGAAATTCATTTACAATAGCCCACATATAACTCTTCATACAAATACTTTTTCCCAAATTCATAGGATGTGCGAACAGTACGTGCAAAGCGAAGTTGTCTGAAGGAATAAGTACATTCCTTTTTAGTTAAATTCGAACAGTTTTTTGACAGACATTCAGTCAAGTACTACCATGTGATGAAAGAATACGTGCCAAGTCCAATCAAATTCAAAGCCTAAGTTAGTAAGAATTAGATGGATAAATATTGCATTGCCAATCCTCCACAATGGCGTACCAAGGACATTTTTATTTGGGGGGTAAAAAGTCTGTGAAAAGGGCACTCGCACATCGGTGCTAAAATGTAAACATGTTTTTTTCCTCCAGTCAATTGATCTCCGTAAAAAAAAAGAGTTTGAGGGGAGGGGGCTGGGATGGTCAAACAACAAGATCATGGACACTATTGGACAATAGGTGGTGCTTCTCAGGGTGGCACAATTCCTAAAAGGGAACCTGTTAAAGGCTGTTAATAAACAAATGGAGCTTGTTTAAAAAAAATGGGCAGTTTAAAAAAAATGTATTTTTTCGACAGGCCGGATCGGTCCATCATTTCAATTACTTGTCGTTACTCTTTCTTTCCATTTATAGCACCCCCCGAATGTGAGGGTTTTGAGTGTGGCAACAGCTGTATACCTGAGTATTGGGTCTGTGATGGTGATCCTGACTGTGTCGACGGCAGTGATGAGGAGGCATGTCGTAAGTTTAAGAACACAATCTATCTTCCCCTACTGAACCTGTGTGCCTAGTATATGCTAGAGACCTTTGAACTCTATGATCGTCTGCGCCTTTTTAGTTGGTAACCAACAACCTCCCTATATGCTGCATAATAAGTCATGTCACGTCGTTGCTCTTTTTTGAAAAATATATTTTTCGACAAGATAGGTTTTAACAACTGCGAAGTTGTAAGATGTAAGTTATGAATTCAAGTTAACAATGTGCAGTTGTTGGTCCTTGAAAGCACTATCTGTCCCTGTAAATTTGAAGATAAATTGATTTTTTTCAGATAGTTGCTTTAGCCACTTGAACTGTTGAAATCGGCCGAGTGGTGGCGCTGTGCTACAGTATTCTGTCAAAAACTAGGCAACATTACGCTTGTAGATTTCAGAGTAAAAAGGACTGCTTGTAAATCACCAAAGTCCGGTTCTAACTAAACTCCAATTTCACAGAAATTGAAATAGAATAACGATAAATAAATTCTGAATATAATTCCGTAAACTGTGGAAATACGTTGACGCAAACACGAAATGTATATGGTTTTGTGCGAAAATCAAGGGTATTTCTTATGATGCGCGCAGAATACACTGATGAGTGAGCTTGAATTGTCTGCAACATTTCCATATGTGTGTAGAGATTAGCGTAGTGAGCAACTGAGCAAGCTGGCCGCCAGGTGCTTCCTACTGTCAGCGACCATCCTTTTACTTGTTAAGTCTAGGAATTCGAACTCCTTGGGTCCTAGCTCTATGGTTTATATATAATAAGCTCCATGCATAAGTACCCCTGGAACAGTTAGAAAGATATGGGTGTATTCTTAGAAAGGCTGTGATCCATATCAACTGCACGACGCGTGATTTAGGAATTTCAGTGCCAAAAAAAAATTTGTCCCGTCCATAACACTCTACAAAGTAGTAAAAAAGGGCTAACTCTTGTTTGCACACAGTTAAGTTAAACACAATTAAGGAAGAAAAAACGAAAAAATGAAGTTTGGGAACAACTGTTCTGCTCTTTTTTCTTTATAGTTTAAGCATGTAATTTTTTCACTTTTTTTCCAAATGGATGTATCATATTTTGGAAATAAACTCTTCAAATATTTCCCGTGCTGAGCAGCTCAGTGCCATTTGCCCTGCTGGATTGAATGCATCCAATGTGAGTTTTGGGCAAAGTGAATACAATTTCTGCATTTTATTGTTTTGTACACAGGATTATCTGAATCAAACTCATGGCTGACCAAGCACCAATGTTTTTAGAATTACAGTTGACACTTGAGATTTGTTTTCTTTCTTCTTTCTCCTTTCCAGCTACACCTGCATTTGCTTGCCCAGCTGACAGTTGGCAATGTCCAGGCACCACTCAGTGTGTTGCTGTTACATCAGTTTGTGACGTAACTGAAGACTGCCCCCACGGGGAAGACGAGGGTCCACGCTGCAGTAAGTCTGTCTGACAGCTTTGTGTGTGAATAACGCCTCGGCTCATTGTCATTGCACTTTCTATGGTAATTTTAATTGTAATCTCTGCCACAATGGACTCCGTGCATGAGCCGTAGATGGAGCTTCATCACCACTCACGAGAATCCGTTGGGAAGGACACATTGTTTGTGCACTCTGGTTTGGAGGTGTAGGCCTGTAGATTCATTGCATTCTGAATGCGCACAAAGCTGTATTACTTTACCTCATACATATTCATGATCTTGAGGCGAATTCTCACTGGTCCATTCACCATCACGTGCCAGATGCTATTTTTGCTGTTTACCAAGCGCGCGCGAGAGTATTTGCGCACAGGGTAAATGCGCATGCATAGTAGACTGTCCCACGGGCTACGCGACAGTCTGCTATGCATGTAAATGTTGGGGGGGGGGGGGGTACTTGTACAAGTAGTCTATAGCAGAAAATTCTTCACTAACAATTAACGGTAAGCTTTTTGCTACATATTAACATGTGATCAAAGAAGCATTAAGTTTTGTTGTATGACTGACCCGCAACCATGGTCCCACTTCTAATTGTGCTTGTCAGATAAGGTTAAAATGTCATAAAGCAGTGGTTCTATGCACTTAAAACTGTGCTATTGCAAAACTTGGTGAAAATCTTTCCCCGTCAATAGTATCATTCTATTTCTCGTATTTTAGATGAAGATACATGTTCCGTGCGTAATGGCGGTTGCAGCCACATGTGTATTGATACACCCTTTGGAGCTGAGTGCAGTTGCCCAGACGGATACACACTCGCCAACATGAAAGCCTGCCAAGGTAAATATTCAGACAAATTTGGTATTCTCTTCTCTTACTCAGAATCTTGACTCTGTGTTTTTTCCCCAATTAATGATTCTGTTGTAGTTTGTGTCAAGTTCCCTTAGAATTGATACCCTGGCAGTATCAGGCAATTCCCAAGATCCAGGCCTACTGACTCCAACATGAGTCTTAAAGATTCTGGGCAATAGAGCCAGAAAGTTGACCTCTGGTGGCGCGCTTCAGGACCCCTCGGATAGGAAAATTAGCGTGTAAAAGTCAGAGTTTTTACAATTAATTTTTGATACATTAATTTATAAAGAAAATCTCATTTCGGAAAGGGCCTTTATGAAATTGTTACTAGCATCTCAATTTATGGAAACTGAAAAAAGGTGAAAGAAAAATATTATGCCAAAAATTGATCTGATCGTGGAGTTATTCATATATTATTTTTGACAAAATCGCTACAATTTGGTTTATTCTACACTGAATCGCAATCATTCAGCTTGATTTGGTCTGATTCGGCTTCCAATTTGTACCTAGTTCTTGCTTATTTCTGTTTCATTCTGAAGTTATTCTTACAAACAGCGAATCGAGGCTAATTTCTCCTAATGGCATCAAGAGTTGTTTTTCGGATAGATCGGCGTATTTGTGGCAATAATTCGTGAATGTGTGAACCTAGCATTAGGAAGCAACTTAGTGTTGACAATCATGTTGTGTGTTACTGTTGACAGATATTGACGAGTGTACCCAGGCAGGGTCATGCAGTCAAGAATGCTCCAACAGGAGAGGTGCCTATCTCTGCCTCTGCACAGATGGATATCTCTTGGAACCTGACGGGAGAACATGCAAAGTAACAGGTAGAGTTGGTTCATTGTTCACTGTAAAAGTAACAATACTCAATATATTAAAATTATTTTGCTCTGCATGTTTCCTGTTTTTGGATATCACTTTGTATTCTCTTGTGTTGGAAGGAAAAAACAACCTGTTCAGTGTAGAACAGTGTGGCTTTGAATATGCACATTTTTGGCATATGTTATGTTCATTGGGTTGGTAAAAAGCTCCAAAAAATGGGAGTGATTCTCAAAGGCAACATTAGTTGCAACTCGGTGTATCTTGGCTTGTCTTTACTGCACATACTGCCACAGCTGGGCTAATAAACGTTCATGCAGGTGTTCGCTACTCAATTGTCGTTTGCTGTGATGTAGTCCATCGCCAGTAGGAATGGGGGTTTACTCTGACACAAAATAACTGCGACTCTATACCAACTTGTAGGGAGAGACTTTTAATCATAGAGCTATATTAAATTACTAGAGCGCTGACTCGTGTACAAAGTGATGCCTGCTGGGCGCATCCTTGTTTGTGTGCAAACCCATGGAAAACTCGAAGTTTTGTACGTCTTCTGTATGGCTATTTGCATATCTGCTTTTTTATTCTATACAGGTGCGTTACCGAAGCTGATACGCCCAAAACCGAAACGCATGATCAGCAAATGAGCGTTTCATTCTGCTCTACGCAAACAGTGCAACATGTGCGCGTATACGCTGCAGATGATTAAACGTGACGTTTTTTTAAACCGTCATGATGCGCTTAAGTTTTTTGCGTATGTTCTACTTGCGCGTTGCATTTAGAGTGCACTTTCAAAATTCAATCCATTTAGTTTCATTATGTTCTACATAATGAATTCAAAATGTCTGCGCCGAGGGTGGCTTCAAAGCATCTTCGCACTCAAGAATGAGGAGTTAGCGCTCTAGTAATTTAATATAGCTCTGTGCTTTTAATGCACCAAAGGCAAGACGCACCTTGAGTAGATGGACAACAAAAATGGGTAAAGTGCGAAAAGCTGTGTACTCGTGAGGGGACTGAGGGCGCAATCACCACTACAGGCGCATGGTGTTTTGTATGCCCGAAGGGTGCAAATGGCACCCAAGGTGAAAGAAAGGGTGCGTTTGCATCTCTCTGGCGCAAAACGAAGAGCATTGTATACTACATGTAAAGAACAAATATTGGTACAAAATTTGGAGACCATTGGTCTGGTGTGGTTTATATCGTAAAGCTAGATGATCAAACACTAAATATAAAATAAAAACATGAACAATTTATTGATGTAAAAATATTGTAAAATGTAAAAAAGTTGACATGAGAAGGGCATTGAAAATAAGCAAGGCTTGTTAACATTGTGGTCCTTTTATCCAGACATAAGCTAACAAGTCCAATTTGGTCATTTGAACAGATCCATCGACACCATACCTAATCGTCACCAGTCGCAACGGTGTCATGAGGTACTCCATTCCAACGACGGACATGACCAACATACACAGGTCCAATTATGAACGGATCACCGGTTCGGATTTTGACTCTATAACAGGCAACATCTATTTCTCCAACTCGAACGACAATAATTTGTTCAAGACGGATATCAATGGCTCCAATTTAGAAACGGTGAGACCCATGAAGGAATGGGAAGTGTTCCTTCCCTTGAGCCTTACATATCCACAATGGCTATTGTATTCCTGCAGTCACTAAACTCTCAGAGTCTTATTAATTACATATTGCAAATTAAAAATGGATAGTTCACTGCTTATCGTTATCTTCAAATCACTGAGCTGCCAACTTTTGTGACGCAAATGAAAACAATTTGCCCAAAAGTGCACATGTGATGTAAGAACACCATGACTGTATCTAATCAGCTTTTCAGCATAAAAAAAACGCAAAATAAAAAACAATTTCTTGACCTTTACCATACCTATCATTTGAAATGGCATGTTCTGCAAAGTGTCAAAACCATGTTTATTTTTACTTCAGAATGTAAGGTTAAACAGGAACACAAATATGAAGCATTTTTTAAAATTATGCTGGTTGGTTATGTTGGTTTCGGGGAATCTATACTACTAGTACTAATGTGTAACGTCAGTTTACTTAGGCTTGTTCTGGTAAGATTATTCATCAATTTTGAAAAATACTTATTTTGGAATGAAATTCCGGATTTCTGGCTTTAGGAATACTGATTTTGGAAGTTGGAGGTTGGCAGCTCTGTAGAGAGGCCCTTTCTACCCATCTTATCAAGGTTTCTTCAAGAAATTCACGGCTTTACTTTTGAGAGTACCGAAATTCTATGTAGCCCCGTGAAGGCATTTTGAGTTTGCCACCTAATTCTGTGGAGAGGACAACATTTTTGAGACTGATGCCAAACTGTACACTAACAGTCATCATAAAAAAAGCTGTAGTCACTGCCTCGTCAAAGATGTTTGAGAATATTATGAAAACAAGTTGTGCAGCTTTGCTAGTTGTGTAAGTTAATCTTGGGTATGAGCACAAAGTTTGTTGTACACCTCCGATTCAAGATGGAAGATACACAATGGTTTGTGAAATCAGTGGCTGAAACCATAAAGCCCTAAGATGGAATTTGAGACAACGAAAACATGGTTTGAGACTGTGTGAGGTTATCCGATCACACCTCCTGCTTGGCTTTATTTATTGAGCCTGTATATTCTCCCACAGGTGTACAGTAATGGCATCGAGTACATGGAAGCTATCGCTGTGGACTGGGTGGGTCGTAACATCTACTGGTCAGACACTGCCATCAACATCATTGAAGTGGCAAGTCTGGATAGGGACCACCGGGCAGTCTTGTTCTCACAGAATATCAGCCGGCCCAGGGGGTTGTGCTTGGACCCATCTGAAGGGTAAAGAGAAAGTACATTCACAGAGGCCCCCATCAGTGGCAACTGTATAATATTGTGCCAGCTTTGAACATCTTCATCCCTTAAAAATTTGTTAAAGAGCCATTTCCCCTTGAAATTGCAGTTAACTAAATTTTCACAGATTTTTTAACATATTAAGCCAGATTAGGAGTCTGTGAAAACACCCTTAAGAAAGTCCTTTGTTTACCCATGGAGATACACCCAGTGTACCTTTATGTATAACCAATGATAATCCTCAGTGGTCAGGGTCATTAAAAATCCGTGAAAATACCCTTACAGGATTAGTCCTAAATAAGCCCCATGTAAATGTCTGTGAAACATCTCTTAAAGATTCTTTTCACCGAGAAATGGACTTTTAATGAACATTTAAGGGATCAGATGTTCATAGTTAATGACGGATTATCAGAACAATAGCTGGCACAATGCTTTTCCATTGAAGTAGGCCTCCGTTACTGAATAGTTATGGTGTGCTAGGAATGATCTACAGTTCGTACTCCAGAGGTAACAAATGTGAAAGTTTCTCTCAGGTCCGAGGTCCGATTACAAGTACTCGTTTTGCATTTTTACAAAGTAAGGATTGAAATTCAAGGGGGGAGGAGGGAGCACATCGTATCTGCCGGTGTGAAAAAGGGGTACCTGGTTACAGCACTAGATATAGGTTTAAAATAGTCACAAAGCAACAAATTTGGACAAAGTTTTGGTTCAAGACACTAGTGATTGATAGTGAATCACCTCATGCCAGAGCCTTGCACTGTTTGTTCCACATTTTGAACCGAGAGTGAGCTGAATAGTGCTTTACTAAAAAAAAAACCCATCAAAATCCTGGCATTCAAAACTAACATCAAAAAACTGTTGTTACTTGTTGGGGTGTCCACAGGAGTCGGTACCTATTCTGGGCTGACTGGGGCCAGAACCCGCGGCTGGAACGGGCCAGTATGGACGGTCAAGACCGCATGACCATCATCAGTGATAACCTTTACTGGCCCAATGGTGTCACCCTTGACCTGCCCACCAAGAAGGTGTACTTTGGGGACGGTCGGTTGGATTTCATTGACTCCTGCAACTATGACGGCAGCGGAAGGCGACGGGTAGTCATGCGTTCCATGGTAAGATGCAGAGCAATCATTGAGAAAGGGATTATTCTTGTAATGACTCTGTGCAACGTACTGAAGAGGTTTATAACTTGTTTAATGATTTAAGTTATAACCACTTACCGATCGAATGTCAGTATCAATAAATGTCTGGACTCCGGGGACTCCGAGTCCAATCGTCAAGGCACAGCAAAGCGGTGTGAAAACTGCTCCCACGCTGGTGCGGTGAACTTCGGCCTACTGCCGAATGTGTAATCTCTTCACACGTGGTTCCGAGAAGTTTGTGCGATAGTTTGACGAAATACGGTCCAAAATCGTATATAATCCTCGGCAAGCACAAGCCACAAAACTCACAGGTTAACAGTCTAGTTGCAACACTTAAAATGTCACCACTTTCAACGTGTCATATGATCCATTTCACAAAACTTACAATGTGTTGAATGCGTCCATGGGCGTTGCGGGGGGGGGGGGGGGGGTGCTTGCCCCCTCTGAAAAAGCAAAAAACAAAAAACAAAAAAAAGAGGAAAAAAAAGAAATAAAGAAAAAGAGGAGTGGAGTCATATTGCTATTAATTTAATAGGTGGGGGGCATATGTCCCTGCCTCCCTTGAAAAATGATAAATCGAGAATACGCTGGAAAAGTACAGGGATGTCGGGGAGAATGTGCTTTGCCCCCCCCCCCCCCCGAAAAAATCCTGGCGACGCCCATGAATATGTCGTAAGCTCCTTGACAGCACTTCACAAGTTACAACATGTCTTTTGGTCATCGCAAAATAAGAAGCATCTTTCCTTAGCCAATTTTATGCCATAAAAATGAAATAAATGAGACTCTAATACCAACACAATTTTTGTGACATTGTGAATGAAATATGCATCAAGTTTAATATGAATTAGCCTAGAGTATTGCAGTTGAAATCTTGAAGTCTGTAACAGTCCACTGGGATCTTGTTTTCCTTTAAAAGGGAATCATACGTCCGCCATGTTGTGTTAAGTTTTACAAACTTTTCGAGAGGAGAACCGATGACTCTTAGCTGAAAATCAGATGACCATTTACTGTGCATTGAAATAAATAACAGTCACTGTATTTTGCTATAAAAACACCTACGACGCATCACACTTACAACACGTTTTGTGAAATGAATCACAGGACGTGTCACAGCTGCAATGCATCATAGGGAAACGACTGTGACGCTTCGTAAGTTACGATGAGTTTCATGAAATCGGATGCAGGCCTCAAATCACCTTTTACTGGTCCTGCATTGAGTCCAGTTCATACTTGGTGAAAAAAAATGAACATGAAAGCAACCTGTGATGTCGCAGCATTCTTGTAATTGTTTCATCATAAGTTTTTCTGAACCCATTGACTTAAGACAGATTAAATTTGATTAGCCCCATATTGATTGTTTTTATTGATTGATTTGTTAGACATATTGATTGATTGATCACCAGGGTAATTCCCGGATCCACTCCATCACAATATTTGAGGATTCCATGTACTGGACAGACAAGGGCAACAATGAGATTTTACAAGCCAAGAAGTTTAACGGGGAGAACATGACAGTTTATTATCCCTACGTGTACGGTTTGATTGACATCCATGCATACCACCCAGCCAAGCAGCCACCAGGTAAAGTCCAACACCTAAACCCTAACCCTGCCAACATAGTGCAACAGGTTGTAAAAGTCTGTGAGACCTTGCTGCGTTCAGCCATCAACATCAGTGCATTAACTGCCAATATATCAATGACTAAGCCCCGAACTATGGTATTTTGACCAATCACAACCGTGGTTAATGCCTGACATGCGTTCATCAATGTCCAACATGCGTGCACTTGCATATGATTTGTACGTCTGAAACATGTTGTGTGACATTGGATCAGCTCCCGTGTTGTTGCCCACATGTGCAGTGGGCGGGGCCCATGGGCATAGATCAGTGGGGGGGGGAGACGTTGTTTCCCCCCCCCCCCCCCACTTTTTAAAGTTGGGGGATGTATCGTTTGCCCCTCTCCCCCCCCCCCTTCCCACTTTTTTCGTCTTCAAATACAAATTGTAGCTTACAGTTGATTATATAGCTCAGAATACCTGCTGCAAACTAGAAAATGATGTTTCAATGATGATCTTTTGCTCAAACACATTGGTTAAAATGGTCAGAAATTGCCTCAGATCGCACCACAGAACGTCATCTAGAATCCAACATTTTCTGGGGGCCTCAAACCCCTCATCATTAGTGCTTTGCGCTTGGCACTCACATTAGTTCTGATCGAGGTATGTCCCCCCCCCCCCCCCCACTTTTGAGAAGCGATTGACGCCCTTGGTGGGGCCTATAGGATCAGTCTATTCTGAAATATAGGGATCAAGGTCCATTGTACAGTGCCACAGTTAGTGACCATGAACTCTTAGGCAATCTGAGATTTGTTTACCCTTTGACTGATTTTGTTGTGTTTTGTTACACTGGGCAAGCGTCCGAGTATGACAAGTGTCACTGACATTGTTTTCTGCCTCACTACAGGTCCCAACCCTTGCAGCTCCAACCCTTGTTCTAACCTGTGCGTCCTGTCATCCAAAGATCCAGGCTTCTCATGCCTCTGCCCTGTTGGCCAGACGCTACAATCAGATGGCTCCTGCACAAGTAAGTCAATCACAAAGTCAAATCACTAAATGTCAATAAATGTTCAAAAAGGTTTTGGAACGAAGCTATTTACCTTTAGATAACATGTCGTTTGTCTTGCGATTTCACCATTGAGAGATATTACTTGTGCACATTCTCATTTAGAGGAATTTTGTTTTCTTTTGACAGTGGCAGACGTTTTCCTTTTGGTGGTTCGCGGTAGCATGATCCAAGGCATCAGCCTAGATCCCACTGATCAATCATTGAATCACATCCAGACAGTGACAGCAGCACGTGATGCTTACGACGTGGACTTTGACAAGGACGGAGAGTTCATCTACTGGTCAGAGGCCGTTGTCGAAGGTCACGAGGAGGACAATGCAGCTGTAAGAATTTGAAATTAACTTAATACTTCCTTGTCAGTACCTGTCTTGTGCTTGCAAGTTGGTCCTATGGGCTCCGTGCACAAGTTCTCCTTCAACGGCCAGAAAAGGAGAGTCAGGGGAGACCTAGTCCCGGTCCATCCACTGCGTATTTCGAATGATCCAAAGTTATTGGGGGTGGGGATTAGTTTGGGAGACCATCGCAAGTTAAATTCGAACGCATTCGTGTGCCAACGACGCCTGACACTCACGCGAAGATGCTGTTGCTATAGCTTTGCCACATTCAGGAAGTCGTGCATACTTTGCGCGCGAACCAGTACAGTACATTACGCACATGCTGTGTCCAGGGGGCTCTCAAAAGTGGTAAAAACGCTCCCTCTTTTGTTGGCGCACGGAGCCCATTAAATATCCGTAGCACATAGTACACACTCATTTGCTTGATAGTAGGATATATGGTTGACTCCATCACAAGTCGAATTTACAATTCTATGACAAGTGCTCAACTTACTGAAATCATTTCCAGGCATCATCAACAATGCTTTCCGTATAACAGCACAGGTTGTAGATATTTCTTTGTTCTGTTTCTTTATTCCCTTTAAAGGGAATATACATCATTTGCTTTTGCTGTAATTTTCAGAAATGGATGGAATTGGGGGGTTGGAAATATAAAGCAAATATAGTTACACTGACTTTTTGGAGGTTTTGGGTTCGAAAATGCTATAAAAACCAAGAAAAACGATCATTTTCCTGTAGTCTGGTTCCCTGACTCCATATAAGAAGAAACAGAGCAGTTTACATACATTGGGGAATTGTAAGGTCAGGGAACCAGTCTAGCTGGCTCGTACCCGTTCATAGATTTGTAATCGATTGCAAACAAGTGCAATGGTCAATTGGGGCCAGTATTTGAAAAAAAAGCCAGTTGTTTCCAACGCTGATCGGCCGATCAGCGTTGGAAATTGATACAAAAATACCACTTTTCTTGAAAATGACAGTATACCAGGTGCCATAATTTTACAGGATGCTTTAGACTGTCATTTACCAACATCCTATTAAGGTATTTCGTAAAAACTTGGTAATTTTATTTTTCGATGTTTGCAAATGTTGTATATTCCCTTTAAATGTGTTTCTTTTCACAAGTACTGTCCTCTGTTTCTGTAGTGTGCGGAGTGGCATTCCTCTAAGCAACAATAAGGTTTGCTTATGTCGACCCTGACCTAATATTCTTTATAAGTAATGTACCTTTTAATTCACTCATGTTTCGTAGATAATATGTTACTTATTAATGGAAGGGACAGTAGATCATTGTATTCCATCAGTTTGGATTTCATTATTTACCGTTATCGTGACCTTCCATTAGAGTGTGTTTTTGGTTTGCTATTCTATGTGTTATTTTTATAATTACTGTCGGTCTCCTTAACCAGGGGTGTGATTTTTCCGGATTTTTCCGGATTTCCGGATTTTTAATCTAACGTCTGCGGATTTTTTTTGCGGATTCCGGATTTTTAACGTTTTCTGTTTCCGTAATAATATCGCCCAAAAACTTCTAGCTAAATATAGGCTCTAATTTACGATAATGGATGGACTGGTGACAAGTCTAATGCAGTGCGGTCAAGAACCTAGTAGACATTAATGCAGTATGCGCAGTGGAGTACTTGAGGACCAGACTAAAAATAATTTTCAATGGGTTTGCAGCACCTCGTGTTTGTCGCGTGTGGATGTTTGTGTGTATTGTGCATGTATTGTGCAGTGACGATCGTGTGCTAGCAATTCGCTAGCCCCATAAATGTGGCCTATTTACTGGACTGCCTCCGTAAACATAGGCCACACATCCACATGTACAAAAAACGTGTCGACGTAGCCAAATTTTGATTTTCACATTTATGCTTACTTTTTACGTTTTTTTTGCTTTAGAAGCATTCTCACCCTCTATATAGGCTAATCAGAAAGTGCTGCCTTTTTCAGATGTTCATTTTTCGTGAAATTTCCAGATACATTTCCACACGTTTGCGTATCAAAATTTCAACATGAAATTTCACAAAAATTAAACATCTGAAAAAGGCAGCACTTTCTGATTAGCCTATATAGAGGGTGAGAATGCTTCTAAAGCAAAAAAAACGTAAAAAGTAAGCATAAATGTGAAAATCAAAATTTGGCTACGTCGACACGTTTTTTGTACATGTGGATGTGTGGCCTATGTTTACGGAGGCAGTCCAGTAAATAGGCCACATTTATGGGGCTAGCAATTCGCAAACACATTGGTGTCAATATTGCCGCGATTTTGTCAAGGAATTCAAGAGTATGGCTGGAAGAACTGGTAATAAAGTGTCACTGTGGATGGAAATCAGTTTGAGCTGCAGTAGTGCTTTGAAAAATAGCCACCACCAACACAAAATTTCTAAAATGTTTTGGAAGCCTGGGACTGGAGTTTAAAAAATAAAGTAAGATTAAACTTTTTCAGCACCGTTCATATTGTTTTGTGTGAATCGTTTCTCTCTGCAACATGCAAAAGTAATGACATCACACACAGAAAAAGCCTTTATGAATCAATCACATGGATTATATTATTTAATGACCAGACGTTTTTTATTAAATTTTCCCCCATTTATTTTCTTTACTGAAGCGACAAAATTTGCTAACATTACAGAAATTACAGTACATGTACATGCCCTAGGCCTATATATATGGACATACGTGCATGCATATGTATACATGTACATACAAGTACATGTACAATAATACATGTACATGTAAATGTACATGTATATTACATGTCAACTGAAGTTCGTGGATTTTTCATTTTTGTCCAATCACACCCCTGCTTAACGTTGTGGTGTTTTTCTTTCCCTGCAGAGGTCCATCCTGCGAGCCGAGTTCAGTGGATTCAACAGCTCCTCTGAATTTGTCCCCACGGCGTACCTGGGATCCCCCGTAGGTATTGCCATTGACCACCTCAGCCGCAATATCTACTGGACCAATCCGGACAAGCACACCATTGAGGTTATGCGGTTGGATGGGGACAACAACTACCGACGCAACGTGGTGGAGAACAGCGGCGGGGAGACATCCGTCATCTTTGATCCGGCCTCAATCTGCCTCGATCCTGGCAGTGGGTAGGTCTTATTGTTAAAACTGGAGGTTGTAAACAAGCCATTCACATGTCACTTTTATGAAGTCAAGCGACAAGCTTGTATTCAAAACTGAGGTGTGGCAAATGTTTTCATGTGTCATTTCGGCAACCCTGTGCCTGTGCTCTCGTCGCATTGATCCTGTATTAAATTGTATTACTGGTATTAAAGTGTATTACTTGTATTAAATTGTATTACTTGTATTAAATTGAATTACAATATATTTACTCATCCATGAATCAATTAAACCATAAAGTGCAGGGGCAGTTCGGGCAGTGTGAAGAGTGTTACTCTTCACACTGCCCGAACTGCCCCTGCAGGGCAGTACAAGGGCTAAAGGGTTAAACAGTAAACCATAGTCATCACTTCCCGTGCGCATGATGCCTGAATATTGAATGTACATGAATTATCTATACTACTTTCTGAAGTTTCTTTTTACTTCACAAGTGCTGTGAAAGCTGTTAAGTGGTCACCCCTATTCAATGACGACCCATTGAAAATCATCCCCGAGGTGACATGGCTACCATTAATAAATAAAGTTATTTTTATTATTATTATTATATTATTGCTGTTGCATGGTCACTAGATTAGAGCGAAGTTTCCTCCTGTAAATTCCTGCCTACACTACTGCCCTTACCTAATGTAATTTTACAAGTGTTAAACAATTTCGGAGAATGTTGTGTTAGTGAAAGCTAAAACCTCATATTAAAAAGGGAAGTTACTTAATTTTGTGTTGTGGCCAGGATGATGTATTGGGCGGAGAATGGTGGCATGGGTGTGGCACCTCAGATCAACCGAGCCAACATGGATGGTTCAGTGCTAACCGCCGTCGTCTCTGAAAACCTCGGCCATGTGGACTTCCTCACTATCGATATTGCACAGCACAAGCTGTACTGGACTCAAAGCATTGGCCAGTTGGTAGGTTGTCTTATTTATCAGCAGGTGTCATTTTATTTGTTCAAAAGAGGGGATTCAGTAACAGTTCATCCATGCATGGATGATAACTATGCAAGAATTCCTAGATATCGCATCGTGATACAGGAATCTTAAGTGCACTTGTTTATCTGCTCAAGTCTTTGCCAATTTTTAAAAGAGAGCAGGAGGAATAAGTAAATTTCAGATATTAATTTTTTTTCAACTTTTTACACTGGCTGAATTAAAGTCTTATCTTATCTTATCTTAACCACAAATAGACATCAGCTTAATAGCCTGTTGTTTGCTTTGTAACAAATATGGCAAATAATAATGATCAACTTTGTTCACCTTCATCTTGTATGATGGAAATTGTAGACTATAAAGGGTCAATGATTTTACACGGGAGCATATTTGTAGCAAATATCCAAATCTCTGAAATGTATCAAATCTATCAGACATCCCTTTTTGTTAAAAGTTTGTGCAAAGTGCACTTTTTTGAAAAACATTAACAGTGTTTCATGCTTTTCCTGGCAACTAGCTGAGGGCGCTGTTGCTGTTTTGTCACTTTAGGAAGACACTCTTCAGATTAGGGTTTTTCTCTTCTAATTGTAAACCCCAAATTCTGCTTATTGAAAATATTTGTGCATAAATTTTTTCGTTGCCTTACTGTCGTCATATATACTGAAGCAACAATAAATCACTGCAGGCTGGAAAATAACTAAAAGCAAACCTCTAAACTCCTGGTGAGTTTTTATGCCAAAGCAGATGTGAAATTGAAGTTTCTGCCTTGAATGACATCACAGTTCTGCTCATGACTATAAAATTTGGCATTATCATAAAAACCATAAAGGCACCGAAACACCCTTAAAATGGCAATATGAACATTACAAATACATCTAAATGGAAAACTAAAGGTACATTTCAAGGATTGCATTAAAAAACTTCCATTACACAGGCCCTTTGATAATAGATTTTGATTCGGGGTTTTGCCTTTCCCTGACAAAAATTGTAAGCACTGTCAACCGAGTGCTGTCCAGTGCTTTTGAGAGACTTGAATCCACAACCTTACAAATTTGATTTACCTTTGCAGAATTTAACCAGATTTTTTAAAAGGATTTGGATTTAACTATTGGAATATTGCTGTTTTAGATTGAACGTTGCAACGTTGATGGCACTGGCAGGCAAACAGTTGTTGAGGGGGTTCATCATGGAATGGGCATCGCTGTGTATGAAAACTACTTGTATTACGCAGGTATGTTGCCTATTTCCTTTTCATTGAATTTGAGCACTCAATGGTTTTGACGGATTTGTCAGTGAATAAACACAGTGTAATGCTAATGGGACTCTGTTGCACACCTACACAGTCAGCGATAGGGCACCTCTATTATCGATGGCCAGTATTTCATTGTACACTGTTTGTTTTTAAAATGATACATTCTTGAACGAGCTATGTGACTTTTGTGTTTCAAAACTTATAAGCAAAATAGCATTATTGTGTTAAAGCACAGAGAAAATGTTCAATGCGAGCAAAAATTGTGGATTGCACTGCTGTGATTGGAAATCGCCTATATGCCTTAATAGCTGACTGTGGATTTAAAGTGATGAGTGTTAACATTTGCACACCCACACAAACGTGTGTTCACCGTCGATCGTGGACGTCCTTTTGTCCCTCTTTTGTTTGTACTCTAACTTTTTAGGAAGACTCCCATATGTTTTGTACACGACCCCAATCGCGGACGTATGCTGGGAATTGTGGATGATATTGTTCTCTTTTGTTCTCTGGTGTTTTTCGTCCACGGTTTGAAAAGATGAACCCGTACACATAAATGCACAGTCCTACTTTACCATGATGTCTGAAGACATGGCATTGTGTTTCCCTTTGTTATAATATAACACTCTCCCATAGACAAAGCACATAGACTTACTTCGATAATTAAATAATAGTAATTTAACATTTCTATTTGGCTGTTTTGATTTTTTTTATTGATCAAAAAGCGCAAGGACTATTCTCAACAAAATATGCACGTTCGAGAACAACAAAGAATCTATTGTTCTCTCTTTGTTTGTCTGTCCCCTGGATGTATATAATGCAAGAACGCAATACTTCACTATTTTACTCTTACAGATTCAGCCTATGAGAAAATCATGCGCGTGGACAGAGACACGGGTCAGAATCCTGTGGTGATGCGTAGCAACGAGCGTCGGCTGAAGGGCATGAGAATATTTGCAAGGTTTGGGCCTACGTCCAATGGTTGCACAACGTCCAACGGTGGTTGCCAGCATTTGTGTCTACCGACCGGCCCCAGCGCCAGGGTCTGTGCCTGTGCTGTTGGTTACATACTAAACACTGACGGAGTAACTTGTGGAAGTATGTCACAATTTTTCTTAAATAAGTTGGCTTTTAAAACTATTTCCAAGTTCAAAATATTTCCACATTTCAAAAATTTCCTGACTGTTCTCTTCCAGATTTGAGTTCGTTTGCTGTTGTGTCCCAGCTCAGAGTGACCCGAGGCTTTGGGTTGGAGGGGCTCGACCACCCAGAGGCCATGGTACCCATCGGCGGAAGAAGTAAGTCCAAGAGTCTTGGGAAAAAATCAAGCATTTCTTTGAGGAAGTTAGCAATTGCTTCCCTGTGGTCACCTTACATGAAATGTAGATGGCACTCAGAGAGTTCCGAGGGAGGGACACATTGCATCCCACACTGGTTCTCACGCGTATGCAGGGTCAGTGGTCCACAATTTTTTACACTTTTTCAGAGGCAGATTTCTCAAAATTGAAGAGACATATTGAAATTGTTTTAAGACATTCCTTAACTACAAGATCTTGTATTGGTGGTATATGGTGAAAACGGTGTTGAAAATAAAGCTCAAGTTTAAGGAATAGCGGCCATTTATAAAAAAAAATGGTCAAAAACTAGTTTGTCCTCATCCATTGCAGTCATGTAGACCTTATTATGCATGTAGTGCTTTTGTGTCTCAGACTTGCATGTGGACTAAGTGGTTTTTGACCATCTTTCTTTAAACCAATGCCATTTCTGAATTTAGGCTTTATTTTCATTGCCGTTTTCACCATATACCACAAAGATGCTGTAGTTTAGGAATATCTTGAAACAATTTAAACATGCCTCCCCAATTCCAAGAAATCTGCATCTGAAAAAGTGGAAACGTTTTTTGGGGCCACCCTGTACTGTGTAGCACACGTGACTAATTTTATTCTTAATGTGCCCAAACCTGTAACATCTCTGCTTGACCACCAGGCTTATGGCAGCAATGCATTTCAGTCCCTTCCAACTTTCTCTTTTATAACTGAGGAGATAATTAGTCACTGAGTCCATAATCTGAACATTTTCTCAATTTCTCACTCAGATACCTTTATGACTCTTTAATTTCATGTAAACGTTCCAGTAAGCGGGTTCTGTGTTCATTTGTGTTTGCAGAAATACTTAAGTAATATATAGAAAGGTGCTTGCGAACGGCTTACAAGTTAGAAACCTGAGATATGAAGGCACAGTTCTTGAACCTAGCAGAATCTTGCTCTTTCGGGATCAGAATGTCAGGCCCTCAGACTTTTACAGAATTTTGTATGTGTGCTTCAGAACTCAGCCAAGTAGAAAACAAGGATGGTAGAGATCCGCACAAAGACACCAAAACAATATCAGAGCACAAAGGGGTGAATTAAACTTCTTAGCAGGAATTGGCTTTGCACAGAATCATCTGCTTAAAAGCAAAAATAGGTTGCCAGTCATACTCTCAAGTTGTGTATGTCGCCTGTGATAAGTTCTCAGCTGACTCTTGGTCAGTGCATACATTTGCTTATTAATCTGTTTTTGCTTTGCAGCAATGCTGCTACAAGTTAATGAGATTTTTCAAGAGAGTGATGCCAGTCGTGTCAAGCTATATCAGGTTTAGAAAGTCACTGTCGATTAAAATGCCATATTATCTAGTATGACACCTTATTTTAACTGTCCTGAAATTCCGTTTACCAAACAAGATCAAGCCAAGAACGGCAGCATAATGTCAATCATTTTTGTCCGCGATCTGCAGCCAGGTATACTCTTCATGTTGATGTGTACATGCCTGGAGAGTACATCTACTTTGCAGACTACGACCCAAATAGTCGCAGAACTGATCGCAACGGTATCCGCCGGATCAAGCCAGATGGCAGCGGGTTCCAGGATATCGCCCTAACTGGCTTGGGTTACTGGGGAACACGCGGGCTGACAGTGGACTGGATAGCAGGTACGTTGTGGCTTCTGTTCAGGGGTCCCTGTGTAAATTAGGTTTTGAGTCCTGATATGGTGTTCTGGAAGGTCATGCTGCTGTAGGTATCATATTGATTACAAGGTGAACTTAGTCTGTTTTCTTTTCGTTTTTATTTGATGATATGTTCAGTCATAAAAATGTTCATATTAAGATGACTTTTATTTATTTGAAGGAGAAAAGAACTCCATTTCGACTTCATCTTGTTATGTGTGTGTTAACAATTCGTTTAAATCCTGCAGGAAATGTGTACTGGAACAGTGCCCATCAAGAGGAAAGCTTCTTAGAGGTCAGTCGGCTGGATGGTAGCCTGAGGCGAGTCTTGTGGAAGACCCCAGATCACAAACCCAGGGCCATTGCTGTCAACCCAATCAAGAGGTAGGCCCAAGCTTCATTTCATGCTAGTAATTTCTTTGGGTCTGAAAGTACTTGGAATCTGTTGTTTTCTGGTCAAAGCAGCAAGTAAGATTTTAGGGGCAAATGCATAGCTGCCAACTATTACAAATTTTTCGTAATTATTACGATTTTTTTGTTAAATTACAAAATATGAATTGCCACTAAAAAACTATGAATTTCCCATTTTCTACCTAACATTAAAAAATACTTGTAAAGTATTGTTGTTGCTCGAAAACTTCAGGCGAAATGTTACGATAATGGATGGACTGGTGACAAGTCTAATAAGCAATGCAGTCAAGCACCTGATAGACATCAATGCGGTGTGTGCAGTGGAGTACTTGAGGACCAGACTAAAAATATTTTTTCAGTGGTGTGTCATTTGTACATGTGCACCTTGTGGATGGGTGGTTGTGTGTACTGTGACTACTTTTCAGTGACGATCGTGAGTACAATTGGTCACTTATTGCCGGGATGAGACCCATCAGTGCGAGATTTTAATCATGGAATTTAATAAGAGTATGGTTGGAAGAATTGGTAATAGAGTTTGAGTTTATCACAACGTCCAGAAAAGATAAATCAGCATGCGTTTGCAAGGTGTGTTGGTGGGATATTTCTATTGCATACGGTGGCCCTAAATCATTGTGTGTAAAAACATGATACCAACTCGAAACTCAACAGCGATAGCATGCATCTCAAGAAAATATGCGCACATTATTATTATTATTTATTTGCCTTAAACAAACAAATACAGACAGTATTTAAAAATCAATTGTAAAAAAATTATAAAAATCTTTTTTTAATTATTATTATTATTTTTTTAAAAATTATCCTATGACCTACAGTACATTATTAATCACAACAAGAAGGGTATACACATGTACGTGTACATGTAAACCATGTACCTGTACTCGATGTTGGTAAAGCTGGTACATACACTGTTAACATACGAGCAATTGAAAATGACCGCGCGGCTTGATTACTAATTGGGATTTTGAAAAGTTGGCAGCTATGCAAATGTGATAAACAAAGAGTCCTTGGTTAATTTGGTCCCTGGTTAATGATGCCTCATTGCTCGAGGGTCAGTAGACCTTACTCACGATGAAGCCCTTTTTTTATCGTGTTCCCTTAATTTTATTTACACATACACGATTTTGTTCTGCGATAATGTCACCCATTTTATATGTACGCACAAATCAATGAGCACATTTACATTTACGTGACAAAGTCGTGCGACTTATCAGGCTAATTTCAAAAATCGCGTGTAGCGTATCGTGTATTTGTTCGTTCATGCACGCGCATGTGCGACATTTCTGCACGACATGCATCGTTGTGACAAACTCGCTTATGTGTGAATAGGCCTTGTAAACTGTTGAAAGGGGTGGTGCCAGACTATTTATGCATTGCAAGCCTTACTTTTAATTTGTTTTTAAATGTGACTAAAACATTAGCATATAATTAATCACAAATTTTAAGTTATTCATCAGAACTGACAGGTATTAATTTGTAATTAACTTGATTTCATTACTTTCATTTCTATTCCCCCAAAAATTTCAAAAAATGAAGATTTTATCTCACTTTCAACTTAATATGGGTGGCATGTGAATAAAGCCTATGGTCATCCCAAACTCCCCACCTCTGGCTGTATGCTGTACTTGCTAAAGTATTTAGGCCGGTTTATACTTTGCGCGAATGTGAATGAAGTTGACGCAAGGAAACACTCGCTGCAACAATCGCCAGAGCGTTGGAATGTGTTCAACATTTGCGAATTCACAGTGCAAAACTTGCTGTGACATCACAAATTCACATTCACGTTTGCTTTCGCACTGTGTATGAACTGAACTGGCCTTTCTTCCTAATGTTTGTATGGACGTTAGCAATAGCCAGATACTTGACATTCAGGCTTCGACTTCAACTGTCTTCCCCCAGGTACTTGTACTGGGCTGATTACGGCCAAACACCAAAGATCGTCCGTGCATTCTTAGATGGCAGCAACCGTACCGAGTTGGTGACTATAGGCATTTCATTGCCAAGGGACATTGCTGTGGACGTCCAGACCCATGATGTCTTCTGGGTAGACACAGTCACAGATGTCCTGGAGAAGATTGACTGGCAAGGGGGCAACCGGCAGATAATCAGGAGCCAGCTACCCAACCCACGCGGATTGGCAGTCTTCAGTGACTCAGTATGACACAACATGTTGATAAAACAGAACAACAGTAGATGTAAAATGTGTATTGACTCATTGCCTGAATATAGATGGCGTGCATACTGTGTGCAAGACACACTGCATGAGTGCACTGGTTACACAAGTAATTTTATCTTTACATATCTACATAGCCTCTTTGCATGAGCATCCGGTGTCGAAATGTACACTCAGTTTCTCTCTTTATCACCAGTGAGGGGGTACTTGGGCAAAGAGTTGATAGCCCAAAGTACCAGAGGAACAGTGCATCAGATATTCATGTTTAGAGCCTAAATTTCCTCAGTCACAGTAAGTTCAATAAGCTACCGGTATTTGTCATGATTAAATATCAGTGAGCAAATGACCAGTCAAGTAACTGGGTATGAACATGGACAAAGGAATGTCATTTTCACAGTTCCGTTTTGAAGCTTGTCCTCGACTTGTGACTTATGACAACTAATGACATGTTATGACTAGAATACAAGTTTGTCATTTTTATGTGCACATTAACTTTGTACTTGATGGCTTAATGCTGGACCGTCATAATCAAGCAAGTGGAGAATCAAAGTCTAAACTATCTTCCATTTGTTTGCTCTAAGGTGTATTGGGTGGACAGAAATTTAGAGAAGATTTTCCAGGCCAGTAAGCTTGCCAACAGCAACAAAGACCCGGAGGTGTTCCGTACAGACATGGAGAAGTTAAGGGACATTGCCATCTTTGATGCCAGTAACCAGCCACCAGCAGGTGAGTGGCTCCAATTCATAACACACATCAAGTAAACCTAATTAAATCCAAAAAAACTCAGGCCTTAGGACCAAACAGCCCATCCCATCGTAACTGAGCACAGTCGATCTGTTTGAGTGCCAAAAAAAACCCCATACCAGCATTCAGAATCATTCCTGTTCAGCCCACCACAGCTCAAATCTCAAGCCGTGAATAAAAGCTCCCCGTTTTTGCGAATGAATATGTCATTACAACAAGTAAATGGCCATCCTCCATACAACCACCAGCGTGTTAAATACCCACTGCACTACACACACAGACAGGTATAGGCTATAAACAATGCATATACCTTCTACTTCATGACACCACAACTCCAAAAAGAAATGGGAGCTGACCATAGTAACTGTACCGGCCCATGTCAATAAGTATCTCTGCTTGCTGTAGAAACCAAATATTTCTGCTTGTGGGAAAAATTGTACATGTACTCATCAAATTTATAATGACAACTTTTGCATTTCGGCACACTGAGCACTGTCACACATCCATTAACAATACATGCTTTTGCGGCGGCCGAGTCCCTCCTCCAGATGGCCTCCAGGGGCGGTCTATTTGACTGTCACTCATGTAGTTCATTCGTAAAGTAACTGCACAGCTAGTTGCTGTCGACTCTAATGAATATTCAACCCAAATTTGAATGAAATTCACATAATTTTACTGTATGTACCTATGCAATATGCGTAAGCCATTGATCAATCTGAAGGTGATCGACTGCAGCTATGCTATCAATTCTAGCAACTGTGTGCACCACGCGCACGTGTAACTCTAGACTGTGCACCACGCGCGTGCAACTAGCCCTACACGCCCGGTACTGCATGCTGATTGGCTCATCGTCATTCGTTTGCAGTACATTGAAGTATGCTTGCTTATTGTAATGTTTGCCTTCCTGCAGATGACAATGTCTGCGGTGTCAACAATGGTGGTTGTGATCAGCTCTGTTTGGCCATGCCAGATGATGTCGCAGTATCTCGCGTTTGCCTCTGTGCCATAGGGGAACTTGCAGATGACGGTCAAACTTGCCAGAGTAAGTCATGGATATTGAAATCGTTATTATGGACTTCTTGCAATAACAGTGGATGAGAGTTGTATTCATGTCTATCACATGTCAAATGACAAGTCAATCACAAGTAAGCCTGCATCTGAATCAGTTGTCTAGACCAAGGTCTAGGTCTGCGCCCATTGAAAATACGTGGCAGAGATGAAACTTTTCCGATTTTAATCGGAAATCCGACTTTTTGAATTCTCCAAAGATATTTCCGATTTTCTTACAATGTGTCCCACAAAATTTGATTTTGTGTAATGATTTTATCACAAAATGTCATTTATTTCAATCATAATTTCGAGGAAAAGTCAATGAAAAGTCGATGGAAATGGCACGTTAAAATCATCACGAACGTAGTTTTAATCTCTTTCACCAGTCGTTATTGGAGTGTTTCAACGGTAGAAACACAGGCCATAACGCTGATCGGAGCCTTTTCCAGTTGGACAAAAGGTTAAGCATTGACAGGTGATATGGAAAAATCACTGTGTCGCACGTGCATGCATATGTACAAAGATGTATGCAATGGTACCAGCGTACGTACCGCACCGTCCGCTAGTGCATAGCACATGGCCTGTCAGGAACGGGTGGCCTCGTGAATGATCCAGTGGATAAAATCATTATGTTGTGCAATTTTCGGAGGTTTCGGATTTAGTTGTACAAAATGCAATGCTTTAAAAATCGTGATGATTATTTCGAGGATAGCGAAGAGAGCATTAGCGAAACATTTCACTGGCATTTGTTGGAACAGAAAGATGATAATACCTGAGTTTCCCCACGTACGAATGCAACTGGAGTATTCTAGTTGTATGGTTGAATCACGGACATGATTGAAGCACCATGAACGGTGCCCTTGTCTTTCAGACTTTGTCCTCGACTTTTAAAGTAAGAAGTGAACTTCTTTGTTGATGACTCCATTACTCTAGCCGTAATTAAGGCGTTTTATGCAATGAAAACACAGACCATTTTTTTTTTCATCGTAAAATTTTGTTTGAATCGAAAATAATTCAGCAGGAGTTGGTGTCCGGAAATTGGGCATGAAGTGTATTGTACATGCATGTACATGTGTGGAAACTGCAGCGCGGCCCAGATTTCGGACACGTATTTTTTGTTCGACGTATTTTCCGATTTTTTGGCCATATGCCAGTTTCATCTCTGACGTGGGGACACGCTTACAATGGATGTAGCCGTAACTGTGGAAGCCGGTTTCGGACACGGCCTAAGATAAAGTAACAAGGGATGAACTTTAACAAAGGAACACTTTTTCACTCATCTAATTGTCTATATCTCGGGTTTGTGGCATTGCTAATGTAGCATCATGACTTTGGGCTTAAACGCTCAGGCTATACATGGCTTATATGAGTTTATGGCTTCTGGCAAACGCCCCTTGAACAAAGACATTGGGAACCACCATATGGTGGTAGAGCACCAACGGCAATGCAAAGGTTGCAGGTTCAACCCCGCCCCAGTACATTTTTTTTCTTCAACTTTTAGAAATCGTCTCATTTAAATTAACTTGTGACTTTCTTTAGTTTGAACACAAAACTTAATTGTCACATAACTGACAAGTTGCCTTTTCACTGCACCAAGGGAGTCAGTTCAAAGCAGTCACAGTCTCCTTGTCTGCCACTACTGTGACCAGAGTTGAAATTGCACCCAGGTTGATGCATGAATTGGGCTTTCAGTCCCTATGTGATTCTGTTGGTTTAAAAATTCCTCCCATTGTGAATACTGATCATTACTTCATTGTCTTCACTTCACAGGGTTCTTCAGCTTTGCTAGCTGCTGTGGTTGCGTTTTTTTATCACCAGAAATTAATAAAATTATATTTGTTTTGTTTCAGATTCTACAAGTTACCTGGTGTTACGCTTGAGCACTTTTTTTGCCAGTCTCAACTTTGACCCTAGGAACCATGCCGTGCCCTTCCAGCGCATGCAGGTGGGCTACACACATGGAGTGGCCATTCATGACCCACTGCAGCGCATATACTGGTTCTATAGGGATCAGTTGAAGTATATCTCCATCCATGGCGGTTCCCCTGTGGAAGTAAAGCAGGTACAGGGCATAGGTAGGTGAATGCACATTGGATCTAGAGTACCATCTGTTGGAAGAAGGGGGGGGGGGTGTGCACTCAAATTGCATGCAGATTTATCATGATATTTGTTATTTGGTAGTTGACCATGGTATTTGTTATTTGGTAGTTGACCATGGTATTTGTTATTTGCGAGTGTGGCCAAGTGGTTAAGGTTTGTGACTCATGATCAGAGGGTCAGGGGTCGAATCCAGCTGCTTCATATGTTGTGTCCTTGGGCAAGCTACTTCACCCTACTTGCCTCTCTCCACCCGGGAGTATAAATGGGTACTGGTACTGGCATTAGCTGGAGAGTAACCTGCGATGGACTAGCATCCCCTCCAGGGGGAATAGAAATATTCTCAGTCGTTTCATGCTACTGAAACCGGAGATAAACGCCGGCATGATGGGCCACATTGGCCCGTGACAGACTTTTCTATTTGTTATTTGCTGGGGGTGGGAGGGGGATATGTGCCCCTCTGCGGCACAGCATACACAATTCATACATTAGTACACATTACCAACGGTGGACTTTATACCCCTGATACAGCAGGTCCCTGGCAAGTGCGGTAAAGTCGCTGCAGCGTTATAGAGGTCGCAATCAAGAAAATCATTCAAATCCAGTCTTAGGAACTTCAGCAGTGCTACCTTGGGAATTTCTGGCATACCTCACATTACCTTGAGCACAGCATGCTCGTCAGAGATCATCTGTATTAGGGGAATAAAATCCAAATCTAGTCTTGGACCAAGACTTTTCAACAAGGGTGGATAATAGGCAGATGCTTGGGGTGCCTGACTGACCCAGTTTCCATCTGACCAATGTTAATGTGTTGTCATCAATGAATAAAACTGTTCAATATATTCCTTGAAAAAAACAAATCTGTGTTTGTTTTGATATGATTTGTTTGGACTTGGATGGTTTCCACAGAGGTGTAAGTAGGGTTAAAATTCTGAGGGGTACCTGGGGTGCACAACTTTTTCATGGGCCGGGAGGGGGTTACCTGAAGGCAAGTGATTATATACTTTGTTCAATTCAAGATTTTCAAATGGGGGCGGGGGGGGGGGGGGGGGGGTGTCTTATTGATTGACAAGTTATAAATGAATTAATTACTACTTGTGTTTCAATTTTCTTAGGGCGGTACTTGGACTTGGCCATTGATTGGCTCCACAATCGCATCTACATTGCCTCATATTCTGAAAATGCACTATACACTGTGGATCTTGAAGGAAACAATTTGGTCCAAATTGCTTACGCCTCCCGCCCGAGAAACATCATCTTGAATCCTTGCGAAGGGTAAGCTATCATTATAGTGTATCATGTTTGTTTTGTATTTTTACAGTAATGGCAATAGTATTTCTACATGCAACAAGTCAGTCACTAGTCAAGTCATAAGTAACAGGGATCATAGTAAATTTGAAAAGCTCTAGCTTGACTGAAAATTGGACAGAGACTTGCTATAATTTTGAGGACTTGACTACGCTCCCCATTATTTGTGTTTTTTTTTTATTAATGAAGACCACAATGACTTTTGTTGTCATCTGACTCATTTTGTCACACAGTAAGTTTTTCCCCATTTCAAAAGGCTGGTTCATACTTGGCATGACCTCCCCTCCCTCCCCCCAACAAAAAAAAACGAAACCAATTTTTTTATTTTAAGTGGCGTCACAATAAAGGCAGGCACTGCGTGAACCACCATCTTTTCCTCCAAAAGATTTGGTTAAAGTAGTGAGAAATAGCCTCAGATCGCACCACAGAGAATCTAGAATCCAACAATTTTGGGGGGCCTTAAGCGGGCCCGAAACCCCAAGCCGTCATTTTTAGGACCCACTTTTTGGGGGACCAAAACACTTTTTGGCCCCCCCCAAAAAAAATGTGTTCTGGATCCGCCCTTGGGCTTGAAAGTTCACACAAACACACATTTTTGATACCAAGACAACTTATTTTACACTGCAAATTTGCAAGAGTTGAATACATTTCCATTTTGGCAGCACACGTGTTATTACATCGAATTCTATTGGCATTCAGTACGCACTTGCCTTATCACAAAGCTTTTTCTCAACTCTCCAGGACCATGTATTACATGACTAATGATTGGTCCACTACGACCATCTACCGGTCCTCCATGGGGGGAAGTCAGCAAGAGTCACTGATCACTTTCACAAGCTACGTCCCACTGATGACAATAGACTACACAGATCGCTGGCTGTATTTCCTGGATACTTCTGAGTCGTAAGTACATTTCTGAGAGTAATTTCACTTCATAGATGCTGTGGACTTCTTGATCAAGTACCTTCTTCAGCGGTAAAAGAGAGAGAGAGAGAGAGAGAGAGAGAGATGGTGGATACTTGAGTGCATAGCACTGTCTACTGTTCCAACAGAGAGTCCATGAAAATGCAATCAGTCATGAACACTAGCTGGCTGGCAGCCGTAAAATGCAGTTCATCGATGTTACCTACACACTTCAGTGCTACATAAATCATACTTTATAATAATAATGTGCTTATATAGCGCTTTATACCAACGGTCTCAAAGCGCTTTACAATTATTACCCCTGTTCATCAGGCTATGAGACCAGTTATTGTAGCAGCTCGAGATCAGCGCATTCTAGTCTCTGCCTTCACAGGCACCCATTTATGCTCCTGGGTGGAGGGAGGCAATTGTAGTAAAGTGTCTTGCCCAAGCACACAATTACCATGTTCCCCGTCACGGTTCGAACCCATGTACCACGGCACGTGAGTCGAACACCGTAACCATTAGACCACAGCGCTCCTACTTTCACTACAGTCACAGTCTTGGGATCTTTGTTGCAGACCCCACATATTGTACAGTGTTTTTTTATTAGTTTGCAAAATGTTGCCTTTTGTGGGGAGAAGCAACAGGGGGATTTTTGAAATTTAGGGAGGGGCACATACACACAGGGTCCCCTACGCCTCAGTCTACATGTACCTGTATTTGTAAAAGAAACTGCAGTATCTTTTCCTTAAATCATACAAGTATATCACGAAACCCTCTTCAATCCTCACACCACGCCACGCCACCCCACCCCCCATCCTATCCCAACCCTCCCTATCTACAGGCCTATGTTAAGACGGATTAAAACAGACGGCTCTGTTCAAGAAACCATTCTGGATAGCGTGAATACCATAACAGGAATGGCAGTATATGGGGATTATCTGTACTACAGTAATTATCAGGCTGTCACCAGGGTGGAGAAGGATACCGGTGCCAACCCAACGGTCATTGCACATGATTATAGCGCCCGTCCGTACGGCCTGTATGTCTTCAATGGTGAACAGCCCACTTGTGAGTATCAAATTGTTTTAATGTTCTCAATACGATCTGTTAATTTTGTGCTGGCACGTAACACTGGAGTGTCCTGCCAGTAGCTGTAGAAACCTGGAACAAGCAAATAGTGAGAACTACGATTAACCACACTTCTACATTCTTTGGTCTAATCTACGCCTATTTGTGTTTTATGGCACACTGGTATTTTCGTAGGCCCCCAAATTTTTTGTAGGCCCCGAAGTTCATAGGCCAGCGCAGTGCCTACAGTGCCTACTGTGCCTATTGGCTAGTCAGGGCCTGAGTGTCCGGTGAAAAAAATGTCTACCTTTCAGCATAGATGAAATTTGCGGGCGCCCCTCCAATTTAACCTTAAGCCAATAAATCTTTGGGAGTTTTAAAAGGTAGAAATGCAATGCAAAATAAACAGAGGTGTTGAATAATACAATGTGTTGAACATGATAAACATAACTTTTTTGATGACTCATACAAAGAAAAAATAGAAAAAATAAATCTTGCTGAATAATCACCCAAATAATCAAATCCTTTGTTAACTTTGGCTTACCTCATAGAAATATGAAACTTGGAGGGAAGGAAGTAAGAGAAACAGAGAATGAAACTGCTTGTCAAAATATTTCACAAGCATAAATATTTGGGTCAATGTGTCATACATTTTAAACCTGTCTCTCTCGAAAAAAAAACAACCAAAAAAACACCTCAAGTCCACCACCATCACAATTTGCTATTTTTACACTCCGCCATTGGGCATGCAGAGCCTCGATCTGGCAAATTTACACAATAAAAATAGCTGATTCAGTAATTTGAACCCCGACACAGGAATCACTGAACCGGCTATATTTATTGTGTAAAGTTGCCAGATCTAGGCTCTGCATGCCCATGGCAGAAGTGTGAAAAGAGCGAATTGAACCACTCTGAACTTTCTTCCTCTTTTATGAAATCCTACTCACCCAAATGCCGGAGGTTTTTATGTTCATTTTTAAACCTCCAAACTAAAGCTTCAATTTAAAAGCTGTAAATAATGTAAATACTTTTCTTTCTTTGTCGGTTCATGATTGATGTGTACCAAAATTTTATAAACTAGAAATTCAGGGGGGAAAAAAGTGCAGAATTTGTACCCAAACTGGAACCTGTAAGACAAATGTCTACATACGTGTTTATAACCAAACCTATACCCTTTTTTTTTTTCATTGGCATGGGATTATTAAACAACCATACTCCCCAAGTCAAAAGGCGAGAACACAAAGCCTTGCTCAAAGCCAATCTATTTTGTTCACAATACATTATTGTTCCTCTGGAAAGAATCCACCTGTCAATTTAAATTCCAGTCATGCAAGTCCATTTCCCATGCCAACTTTGCATTGTAACCAAATACAATTGTAATAGGATTTTTTTTCTTGACTTTTGATTCTCATAGATTAAAAACTAAAACAGGTTAACAAAGTGCAATGACTCATTCCAACACTGAAACGCTCTGAATTTTAAGGAAACAAAAGATTTTGTTATTCACGAAGCCCCTCCCTACCCGTTCTATTGAACCCAATCAGGATTTTAATTTTTTATAACTATTCTAAAGTCCAAGTGTGGAGTGATAATGGAAAAACAAAAGGATGAGACAAAAATGCACTATTGAAGAGAAAGCTTGGAGTTGTTATCTCATTGGTTTGTTGCTAGACTTGTTATTTGTAAGTTGTAATTTTTGGGGGAGTTTTGTTTGTCTAGCACTCTTTGCTTGGCACAACCAACTCGGGTACAAGTGTGTATTTGCCTGCAATCGGGGACCCCCTGTTGTCCCTCTTTTGTTTGTACTTATACATTTTTAGGAAGACCTCTTATGTTTTGTATACAATCGCCAATTCGCTCTTTTCACACTTCCGCCATGGGCATGCAGAGCCTCGATCTGGCAACTTTACACAATAAATATCGCTAGTTCATTGATTCCTGTGTGGGGTTCAGATCACTGAACCAGCTATTTTTATTGTGTAAAGTTGCCAGATCGAGGCTCTGCACGCCCATGGTGGAGCGTGAAAAGAGCGAATTGGTGACCTTCAGGAATTAGGGACCCTATATTGTGCTGTATTGTTTATCATCCCCTATTGAATGCAGAAACAAACTCATTGCATTTTGCTGGTGTGTACTTTTGTACAGTGAACTGGGGTTAACGTTTTTGCAGTTTGTGGAATAGTACTTTAGGAGAGGGACAGTTGTCTGTCTTTGACCCCTATTCGTGATTAATGATTAGTTTTTAAAAACCAACAGATGATCAATAAACTAAGAATGTAAGTCCTCCTGCAGTTACAGGATTTCCTCGCTTTGATTAGTATTTAATTGCCAATACATGTACATGTAACATATCGTTGCCTTTTTTTTTTTTTTTAAATGCCTCGTGTTTCTTTCAATAATGTCAAGAATCCACTTACTTCCTTGATAAACACACAACACTTGTAAATTATGGGACACAGTCGTTATACCAACTTGAACTCTTGAAAACCTTTCTATTGCTTGGGATATTATGGACCAGAAGGCATCAATTTAAAAGGATGGGGTATCTGTGTGATCATCTTAATAAAAATTGCTACATCCAAAATATGCAGGTTTCCTGAACATTTAGTCTGATAACAGAATAGGTTATATCGTATTCATAACACTAATCCAGAGACATTTCAAACTAACAGGCTTTGTGGTTGGTTTTGATGGTATTGTGCAGTTCCATGCAAATGACACTACCATTCAGTGCCTTGCCCTTTTTTCTGGCAGTTAAAAAAGTACCTAAATGCCAAAAGCATTTTTAGAGGACTCTGATTGTGTTATCATTGCATGTACATAAATCATGGCCATTCAACCCCTGTGTTTCTAATGGTACAGTCTTGAGCATCATTTGCATAAAAGGCGGGGCTTCATCTTTTGATGGCCATTGTCTTGTTTTCACTTTCTCTGGTGGATCACTGCTCAGCTAGTGTTCACTGAGGTCTTTTCCATTGTGTCATGAGAGATGTTGTTGAGACTGGGCGCTTTGCATGACAATAAGAGGCTACCACAGACACACACATCTCATGTCCCTGACATCATGTGGGCTGTAAGTGTTTGTGTAATAAGGTCACAAAATCTAGATCTGGATCTGCTATCCATATCGCGTCAGCATCAGTACAGCATTTGCTGCAAGCTCATCAGACTGGCAGCTTGCTAAATTTTCCAGCTCCATCATTCAAATGAGAAAAAAACTCTCATTCTTTTCTGCTTAAAAACTGAGAGTCATCTTAATATTAAGTTGGTGGGATACATTAACTTAAAGGCTATCTGTACTCTGTTAGACTGTCAGTTGAGCTAGACAGCTGGGGCAGTTGCTTCACATTGTCAAGATGCTCTTGTTGGCTGTAGCATGTGTGTTGGTTGCTACACCATGCCTTAGTCAGACCTCACCATCTTCTAATGGCACCCAAGGTGCAGTGACTACAGCGAATACGCCTACTACATTAAACACAACCGGTAGCACAAATGGTAAGTTTAAAATTTGGATTTCAAAGCTGCCGCCATTTGGTGAACAGGCACCTAGATAAACTTTGTTTAAAAGAGATTAGAACTTGGTGTGATGTTAGTGAGCATACTATTTTTTGTAATATTAATTTTTAGTATTTTTTTTCAAAATCCTGGCATTTCAGTATTTGGTAACATTTGAAAGGCATATCATGCACTAATCCAGTTAATGAACATTAAAACAAATTTTTTGGCATCTACATGAAACATTTAAGTAACCGTGTCAGCACCGACTGACATGAAGTGTTTATGTATCAACTGAAGAAAAATCTTCAATGTTTTATTTTGAAATGAGAAGATTCCAAATGCATTGTAACATATTGAGAGAGGGATTAATATGAGTTCATACATAAATGCTAGCATGCAGCATCTATTTCAAGGTTAATTGTATGCAACTTTGAATTGGCTGAAATGTAAATGTCCAGTGAAGGCCTACATACATTATTTCCATTGAAAAAAAATTAATCAGACTTGTGACAAATTCTGTCGTTCAGTATTGGGTTTTGCCCTTCACCAACGTATTTTATAAACACTCAGGGCTATTCGAAATTCTGCTCTCGTGTTGAATAATGGGGTTTTGAAGGACCTAAAACCAACATGCGAACACGAATAGGATTTTCACTCCTCACTTATCGGGGAGTAGATGAAGAACGCCAAGAATAAAGATGGCGGATTTACGCCCCTACCAGAATTTGCGCTTATTTTTGTACATAAACTGTCGCAGTGCAGGAGCATTAATGATAAACAATATAATTGTACATGTTCATAGAGTGGGCTTGTCAGCCTTGTCTTTGCCAATTTTTATAGGTGTTTCGGGATTTCCATTATCTTCGTATTAATTCCATTAATTTCATTCGGCATTTTATTATGGCGGCTGCATCTTGAAAATCTTGGAATTTTCACCCAGCTGCACTCCACACGCACTTGGGGTTCGTATTCGGCAACCCGAGAACACTGTTTGTAGGTCACCTGAGAACAGGGTTTCGAATACGTCCTCAGTGTTGTCCCCGAATGATTGTGAGAAATAGGCCTATCGCTCGAGTGAGACTCGAACCCATGACCTCCTGCTTACTCGTGCAGACGTCTTACCACTCGATCACCGAGCTTGCCAGTGTCAGCTGGCTGGTTCGAATCTGATATAGCAGCGAGTACCACAACCAAGCTTTTCATAAGATGGAATTTGCGTCAGGGTGATGTAAATTCAAAATTGGGTTTTGCCCTTCACCGATCCTGTATGCAGTTTCTTTTTTATTTTTATTTTCAGTTTAATGGAGGTACACATCAGATGCTGCTCTGTGTCAGATTGTACATGTACACGTATTATCATTTACCCATTTAATGGACTCCCCTGTTAATGGACTTTCAGTATATTAAATTGTGCAAATGTTGCAATTAACATACATGTATATGTACGGCCGTGTATTTTGAGATGACTGGTCTACACGGATTCTGAGGTCATACCGGTAATC